CTCAAAGGGGCTCGAAAATTTGTTTAATATTATAGAAGCTGAAATAAATGAAAACTCATTGAATCAAGGACTTACCTGCAGTGACACATCTGCAGTGAGCAAACACACGAGTGGGAAGTACAGAAAGACTCATTCGTGCGTAATTGCATATCAAAATACATCATACCAATCGTTATTAAATGTGGTTGGTTATGTGTGTCTGTAATCAGGGCGTCGATGAAGTATATATAAACATCCTGGAAGAAATCTACAGGGGATCAACTGCTATCATAGTGCTTCATAAAGAAAGCAACAGAATACCAATAAAGAAGGGTGTAAGGCAGGGAGACACAATCTCCCCAATGCTATTTACCACGTGCTTACAGGAGGTTTTCAGAAGCCTAGAATGGGAACAGTTAGGGATAAGAGTTAATGGAGAGTACCTTAGTAACCTGCGATTCGCCGATGACATAGCATTGCTGAGTAACTCAGGGGACTAATTGCAACTCATGATTACGGAGTTAGACAAGGAGAGCAGAAAGGGGGGTCTTAAAATGAATCTGCAGAAAACTAAAGTAATGTACAACAACCTCAAAAGAAAGCAGCGCTTCGAGATAGGTAATAGTGCACTTCAAATTGTAAAAGACTATGTCTACTTAGGGCAAGTAATAAACGCGGAGCAGAACCACGAGATTGAAGTAACTAGAAGAATAAGAATGGGGTGGAGCACATTTGGCAAGCACTCTCATATTATGACAGGTAAATTGCCACTATCCCTCAAAAGGAAGGTATATAACAGCTGTATCTTGCTGGTACTTAGCTACGGAGCAGAAACCTCGAGACTTACAAAGAGGATTCAGCTTAAATTGAGGATTGCGCAGCGAGCAATGGAAAGAAAAATGGTAGGTGTAACCTTAAAAGACAAGAAGAAAGCAGAGTGGATTAGGGAACAAACGGGAGTTAAGGATATCATAGTTGAAATCAAGAAGAAGAAATGGACATGGGCCGGGCATGTAGTGCGTAGACAGGATAACCGCTGGTCATGAAGGGTAACTAACTGGATTCCCAGAGAAGGCAAGCGGGTTAAAGGGAGACAGAGGGTTAGGTGGGCAGATGAGATTAAAAAGTTTGCGGGTATAAATTGGCAGCAGCAAGCACAGGGCTGGGTTAACTGGCGGAACATGGGAGAGGCCTTTGTCCTGCAGTGGACGTAGTCAGGCTGATGATGATGATGATGATGCGTGTCTGCACATGTTTTTCTCGCAATGAACTGATGAATATGTCTTGGAAGTGTGCTGGCAAGTTTGAAACCAAATCTGTATTTTGATGAAAAGAGAAGCAGCACGTAGCCAAGTCCAGCACCGACACAACTTTAGTTGCATTTGGTAGAGTCGAGGGTGCATCAAAGTACTCTGAGGACAGAAGGGTCCTCACTAGTAACTCGTGGAGGGCTTGTAGCCTGTATGACTTCTGCATCTCGTGACAGTGGCACAGGTCCGTATACCCGTGGTCACGTTTACATAGCCCTTGAATTTCATGCAGCCTGGAAAAAAAATTGCTACTTATTTAGGATGTGTCGTAATAGCCAGAAGAAGTCTGCATCACTTGATCATTAGCCTTACCCACAACATTGGCCGCGGGTTCGCCAAAAGCACATCTCCGGAAACAATTGCTTATGATGTACACTTAATGGAGGGCCACGCAAAAGAGAGGTTATGTAGAGCGATGAGGTCGGCGGCATCTGTTTTCTCATTGTTGAGGCACAATATAACCCGTTCCGCAGTATGCTGCGCCTAGAGAGTTTTCAAATTTTTTGAATGACGCCCATATGAATAGGCTGGAACACAGCCGTTCTGATTTTTGGCAGAAAAATCTGTCGAATCTGTCGTCACGCGATTTGAGGCATTTTCGGAGTGTGGCATGTTCGAATTCATTGTCACAAAAGCAGCTTGTGCACTCGAACTGCCAGGTGTTTCCAGCCATTGAAACATACAACTTTGCCGGGACCACAGCTTAAGTTTGACTAAATCAGTTCAGTAAAACCTCGTCAATTTAAGGTCACTGGAACTGTGAAAAATTTTGAAACTGGTAGTGTTTTCAAATTAATGGAACATACAAAAAGTGGAATGCAAGGAACTTGAAATTATTCCAAGTAATCAGGGGCTGGTCGTTTGCTGGGCCGGCTAGTTTGCGGCTCCAAGGGTTATGTTTTCTAGCACTATGAGGTCACGATTTCGCCTCATACTTAGGGGAACGCTGGGCCTCGCAACTGCCATTGCAAAAAAAAAAAAAGAAGAAACTCGTCATAATCAATTGAAATGCGTGCCTGCGAAAAACAAACATGTTCGCTGCAACATAGTAGTGACACGCGGACGTCACGTTACGTGCCCCTCGCTGTGTCAGTACGTCATGACGCGACCTATCGCCCATTTTTTTTGATAAAAAAAAGTATTTAATAATGGACAGTGTGACGAAATATGCGATGTGTTTTGGCTGGAAAATATCACCACTGAAGCTTTCGAACTGAGTTTTAGAAGTAGGTTTTGCTGTCAAGAACACACCGTGCAGTGCAAGTGCACAAATTGCTAAAGCAACCGGCACTCAGAGGTTCACATACATTGCTAATTCCACCAGATTTAATCTCCTCAAGTCCTCGAGAGAATGGGTAAATCATGATGCACTGACGTTGCAAGAAGCAGGCGACATGCTGCCCGCACATCGCTTCTGTGTTGCAGTGAAGCATGTCTTGTTTTCTGCAAGCGCTCATTTCAGTTGATCACGAGACGGTTTTTTCATCTAATTTAATTTTTTGTACTGGAAGTAGTGAGGCTGGGTTGCTTAAGCTGCCACTCATTAGTATCACTACATTTTATTGCTTAGTGGCTCCTAAAGGCCGTCATTTTCGCGGATTTGCTGCAAAATCGCGATCAGGAATTGTACTTTGCACCAAAGTTTTCGAATTAACTGAACTGGTGCTGACCGCCGCATCAAATTATCCGCTCAAACTTGCATTGCAAAATACGGGACTATAAAAATGTTTCGAATTTAGCGGGATTTTGAAATAACTGAGTTCAAATTAACGAGGTTTTACTGTATTTCAAATTAGGCATATTGAAATAATGTGATTAGACTGTTTGTATCAGTTGTAATCCTATGGTAATTGAGATTCTCCCTGAGACCAGTTGATGTTTTCTTTTCTGGTGCTCTCTCTATTTTAAATGCACATTCGGTTACCTATTTTTATTAGCCATGACAGCATTCAAAGACATTGCTGCAGCAGCGCATCTGGCCGGCTGCGTTGTAGTGAATTTATTGAAGTCTTCATTTCATGTGCCTGACACTCCTAGCAGTGACCCTCACAAGAGGTGGGTCTGAAGGGACAGCTGTGTTTCATAGCACATTGTTTTATGCCAGGTATTCTTGTACTAACTATTGGGAATCATTTATCCCAATACCTACATTGCCAAAATGGGACTTACTGTGGGGTCTTCTTGAATGGGCAGCAAAAGTTCTGCAAGGTCAGGCTCGCACAATGTGCATTGGCTGCCTTCTTGGCCTCACAAACGCTTCTGAGCATCCAAATGGTTTGCACACAATATAAGCATAGTAGTTCGTGACTCGTAAAGAGTTTATGAAGGCCGTCACAAACATGTTTCTGTTTCATACATTAAATATGTGACCTCCTGTCATTAACCAAAACAGATAGCTTTCATGTCGCAGCAGGAAAAGAGTTTATTCGTAGATCTTACATATTCAAGTTAAAGTACTGGTTTTCTGCTCAGTGGCCAGTCAGGTGAACATTCGGGCACTGCAGGGCTGAAGGATACGCACATTTCACCACGTCGAGAGCTTGTTTTCAGGTCGTGGATAGTCCTTGACATCAAAAAAATTCCTGGTGGCTTTGTCACTGGCACAATACTTGGTCACTAAGCTGATGCTGCTTATGCTTTTCAGTATTTCTTCGGGGAAATGTTGTGGGGTCTCGATATGGCAAGCACCACGCCACGCTCTTGGAGTGAACGGACACAGAAGATGCTGTCGGAACAAACTAAACAACACATATTTATTTAACAATTTTTTAATGACATCATCAGCTGAATTATTAAAACACCAATCGAGATCAACACGCTAAGTCATCTTTACAACATATTACCATACACTTCAAAACATGACAAACACAATAACACACTCAAGGTGTGTCGCCAACGCTTCACTTACCAGAGGGCCCTCGACGCGCCACCCACGGTGCCACACACCGGGACCCATGCTAGAGACAACCGTTCGCGGCAACCATTACGCGCGGAAGAGACTCGCTCAACTCTCTCGGCCGCCACCAAGGCTTGCCTGCCGCTAGGGGTGACCGCCGGCACTACCGCTCTACCAACCAAGATCATGATAGTGGTGATCACCGCTTGCGAACACAACGCCATGTATCGCTCAATAGTTGTTACCCCCGAATTATGGCTTCTATGCAAGACACGTGCACCACGCGGCGCAAACAACTTTACAGGGAGGTGTCAGCACCTTTACAACGTTTTAGAAGAGGGGGGGGGGGGGGGGCAGTTGTTGAGCCTAAATATGGTCGAGTTTGTAAGGTTATATAAAGGTGTCTTTAAGCACAAAATAGCATAAAAAAATCTACAATCAACTTCTGAGAAAATGCTTCAGTTTGGAGTTAGTGGGTTCGTTGTCTAGTTCATGTCTTTTTATATGTCTCTGAGTAGTAGTAGTAGTAGTAGTGGTAAGTTTATTTCATTTCTTGGAATACAAGAAAAAGGAAGCAAAGGCAAAAGGCATTTCATACGCCTGACAAAGACCTCTGCTCCGGTAGTTCGTCACAGATACACATTTTTTTTTCAGACACAACTAGCAACGAAACGTTGACATGTCATGTACCACATGCACTAACAAAAGGAATACAGTAATCCAAAACAAGTAAACACATCGTTAATGCAATTGTGTTCTATGAACTGCCCAGGTTGTGCCTCATGCAGATCTTGTACTGTGCACTTCGTTCGCAGATGGTGTTGGAGATGGACATTCCAGGTGTTGGAGTGGAGCTGTTTGGGGATCTGCTGCGATACCTGTACACAGGCGAGCTCAGCGTGGCCGGGGAAGCCGGCAGCAGTGCAGCCCTCTCAACACTGCTGCGGCTGAGTGAACAGTTTGGAGTGCCTAACCCGCTGGCACACGACCTGCGGAGGATGCTTGAAGGTGAGATTTTTCGGAAACTGTGTGCTTTGCACCCAGTAGTAGATAAACTCTTTCTTATCTTGAGGCTGAAAAATTGACTCAAAAAATATCAAAGCTTAATTTTATTCGGATGCGCCTGAACTTTGGTTCGAGAATGATTGTGTCTCGCTGGCCGCATTGCATAGCACATTGTCCTCGGTACTATTGAGGGGCTTAAAGTACTTGCATGCTCCATCATTTCATAGAACAGTCACCGCCAAGCCATGTAAACAGTCTAGAGAGGCATTTTGTGCAATTAGTTGGTTGTCGGCAGCTATCTGCTTCATTATACCGTAAGGTTAAGTAGCGCACTTTTCAACATAGACAACAGGGACAAGAAGAACTTTGCACTCGCTACACTCGCAACTAAATTTAATTCAGATATGTACTTTGTATATATGCACCCACGCTGACCCCGAGTGACACAGTAATGGAATAGCAGGCACTAAAAACTTATCAAATATCAAGTTTTGAGCAGTTGATTATAAAATAATCATGGCATACATAAAAAGGAGCTTAACATTTGATAACAAAAAAAGCATAAAAATGCACAGTTCAGGGTAATTTGCAAGATGTTCAAGTAGAACTCACACGTGCTGAACATGGAAGTCGGCAATTAGTCGGCTGTGATTTATACTTATTAAATTTATCACATTTTTTTATTCTTTGCGCTAGTGTCTATGGGAGCTGCAAGGCATAGCACTTCATCGAGCATGGGAATAATGGGTAGTGCATGGATTTGCGTACTCTTCGTACTTTATGTTCCTTCTGGCTTTGCATGGCTTGAAGCTGCTTTTTCACGAAACAACAATCGGCAAATGTTCGGAAGTTACGCTTCACCTGCCTTGACCTTTTAGGATCAACATTTCAAATCAGTTCACAAAGTTCAAAAGGGTTTGTTTTTTCACTTGAAAGAAAACCAAAACACAGCAATAAACGAAGCCACAAGTGCGTTTGCTGCCCGCAAGCACGAAGACTAGGCAAACCCATGTCATCGAAGCGCCAGAGTCTCCCCTAGTTAACTTTAGGAAGCTCTATGGTTTTAAGGGCTCATTATATGTGAGGTCCTGCAGCACTGAAGTAGATATGTTACAGTGACAAGGCCTGTTCTCTCGTCTGCCTGGTTTGCAGACGTCATCAGGTGCCCGTGAAATGTATTAGTGCAAGCATGGTTTTTTCTATATGCACAATGCACCTAGAAAAACTGTTTGCAGTACCTCAGTTTTACCTCAGTTTTACCTCAGTTTTACCTCAGTTTTACGTCAGTGTAACAAAGTCAATAAGATCGGCAATTGGCTTTGGTGTGAAGAAACTTTGTCTTATTGAAATTCAGCTTTTTATGCGAGTTATATAGTTACCGAGGGACATTTCATGCAAAAGGGGCCATAATTGTGTTCTGTATAAAACAAGAACTAAATTTGATGACATAAAAAAAGAACAATATTAAGCAACACCAGATCTAGTGAGTATGGCCTGATGCCGCACCTGAAAAGTCTTCTTCACAATGACTGTCAGGATGTTGCAAAAGCCAAAGAATTGCCGGGCCAATGCAAAGGCGTAATCAGAGCAAGATAGTTATCCTACCAATTCTGGTGCTACAGCTTTTCACGAAAACTGTAGGTGGTAACTGGAGTGATGTGTGTCGGGGGTTCGTCCTATGTATGGCCAACGCAGAAGCCCGGCTAATGTTCCAGCTGACCACAGTTGTACTGTGCACGATTAACGCCCCCTTTCCGTAGCTCGAGTTATCGCAGCTACACGGGTTCGGGCGAATAAGGCAACAGGCTAGGTGAACAAACAACACTTTATTGCTATACGTTAGCGATAACGCAAAAATGTCGCGTAGAAAGACTACAGATAACAAAGCGTAGACACTTACACCTTGGTCATTGTCGCCCTTGGCTCGCAGGGGGTTCCGGGTTCGTCCTTCTTACTTCGTCGCTGGTGTTAGAGAGAGCGTCCGCCCGTCAGCAGGCTAGTTTTCTTCACCGTCCCAGTTTCTCTTTCCCTGACGAGAATACGTTCCCTCACTGAGAAAGGGAAAACCCGTTCCGTGCGCCGGGAAAAGGGAATCGCGAGCGCCGGCTGCGAAGGCATTCCATCCCTTCGCAAGAGGCTTTATTGTCTCTTGTCTCGAAGGGACAGTCATGTCCTCGCAACTAGGCTGTCGCGCTGCTGTAAAGGGAAAAGGTGGCTGAGCGCACGTGCTCCTCCACATTCTCCCCGCCCCTTAAGAAGGCCCCTAAACGACAGAGACTGGAACAAGGAAATAATTATTTTATTCGTATTCCAAGAAAAGCATTAGGGCCTGATCGACATCTATGCTTACCGGTCTGTCAGTCTCTGCCGCGGGCACCGCCGGAGCCCCCACCGCTCTCTCACTAGCCCCAAAGGTCACTGCTGCCACCTCCGGCGTCGTCGCCACCTGTGCCCCTCCTGGCATAGCCGCCTCCTCCTCCAAGGTAGCCATCACTGGCAGCCGCCAAGGCGGACTCGTGCCGGCCGCATGGCCTGAGGCTACTCTCAGAAGCCACTGCGCGAAGTCCACCTCCCTGGCCGCCCGCGCCAGCATGGCCTGAGCCGCAGGGCTAGGGCTCTCCTGTGATGACTCACGGCTGGATGGCTGGGCGCACGTGCTCCTCTACATATTACACCAATACGAACCAACATGCATGTCACACACATGCATTTATGTGTGTGTAAGTGTGTGTGGGGGGGTATGGGGCATGCTCATGTTACTTTTATGGTGCTTGAAAATATTCTGGAAAATTTGGCATCGTATTGAGAAAAATATACCTGAAATTGGAATTTTGATGTCTCGGAATGGGAATTTTTTTGTATAGCATGGAACATCACTGAACATTGTGGCGAAACAATGGGACGAGGAATATACAGGATGCAGCGCTGAGTTACAACCCTGTGTACTGTACATTCTTCATCCTCTTGTTTCCACTGTTTCATCATAACGTTCCTGAACCAACTATTCTTTTTAAATACCCTTGAACATCTCTGATCTTGCAAGGGGAATAGAAGTCAAAGACGTCCCTGCGTGGGCCCTTTGTAAGTGGCGGTTGAGGGAAAGGGGAGAGGATGAGAGGCCCCCTGAGGAAGGGCTCTGTAAGCGTTTGTAGTCCAGCAGTTTTGTGTGGTGCAGGTGGACACCTGGTGGATGCCAGCTTGGTGTGGGAGGTGCCAGGCAGTGTGGAGCAAGAGTTTCCCTGCCACAGGGTGGTGTTGGCCGCACGGTGCCCCTTCTTTCGCGGTGTTATCCAGCGACGGACCACTGCTGGTGGTGAAGGGGGTCGCATGCGCATTGTCCTCGACGGTACCGTGGTTCCCTTGCGGTACGCTCGCATCCTGCTCTGGGCTTTGTACCAGGACACAGTAGACTTTGTCCGTGTTGAGTGGATCGCTGGCTGAGGAGCTGATGGAACTCTACCAGGTGGCTCGGCTCATTGAGGTGGACTCTTTGGCTCAGGGTGAGGCATTGTTCCCCTCGTTACTGGCAAGAACCAACTGACTGTTTTGTTGCAGCATGTGAGGATGCCCTGGTGGAACTGTTGGGTCCAGACACTCTGTGCGGAGTGTTGCAGTGGAGTGAGCAGCCACATGGATCACCTTGGGTCCACCGGCAGGCCATGGCCTTCCTGGCTGAGGAATTCTCGGCACTGGCAGCCACTCCGCTGCTCTTCCAGCTCACAAAGGGACAACTGCTTGCCCTACTGCAGTCAAACTTTCTGCAGGTACACAGATTGTCTTTTAATGACTTTACACCAAAAACACAGTGACGAGGAGGAAGCAACGTAAAGACTAGTAGAATATAACAACTGTTTTATTTTCTGTAAACATTGACCTACCAGACATTCGACCTGTGCCAACTAATCAAAATAACACATCTATGGCCTACATAGAACAGCACATTGTCACATTTAGGCTTGTGCAAATACTGTATTATAAGTTCAAAGTGAACTCAATGCAAATAGTGACTTTGGTTGAATAATTTCTAATCAAATTCGAATAGTGTATGTATTGCATATTATAAAGAAAAATGGGAATTTTTGTCATCACCTAACTAACCTCCACAGTATTTTTATTAAATTGAGACAAGGCCCGTGGAAACGTTGAATGGTTAGCAGCATTTCACTTGGTAAATGCAAGTGATAGCCTGTAAAATATGTTACATTTTAAAGTTTGCTATACTTGGAGCATATAAGTCGGTACATCAAGCTTTTAAATTTAGAAGAATGAATCGATGCGAGGGTACGGATTTATTCTGCATGTGTGTTTTCCTGGTTTAGCACACCTCTACTGCAGCGAAATTATCTTTACAGGGTGTTACATGTGAGATAGTATGCATATATTCCTTCGTTTCAAGTAATTCGAAATTTTCAATAATTTAAATTCTATTTGATGAGAATTCAAATACTGCACTACTCATTCAAATATTCAAAGCCTTCGAATATTTGTACAAGCCTAGTCACATGCTTAAGTAATAATGACAGAAGGGAAACTTTTTTCCTAAGCACTGCAGCAGATGGGTGGCTGACATACGTTTCTTTTTGCCTTTCAATGCAGAAGGCTCTCACTATTTCTCTCAGTGTTTGATTACAATGTCGCAATTCTATGGTGGTGTTATCAAAGCATGTGCAAGTGTACTCATGGCAGTGCGGGGCTGGACGTGTGCTAGGGTGATCTTTCAGGCTTGATACGTGCTCTCTTAGCCTTGTTTTTACACTACTGCCGATCTGCCCTGCTTAGATATGGTTGCACAGTCATTGGAATATTATACGCAACATTTTCAGCAGATTTAACAAGCTGATTCTTATGTTTAACACCAAGCTCATCCTGTACAGTTTTATGTTTTTCATATTTATTGTTTGCCAAAAAACACACGCATTCGATTTGGTTCCTGATTGAAAACACAACACAAAAATCATAATTTCGGACCACCTTTTTTAGTCTGTGGCATAGCCTGTGTACATAAAGGATCGCTACTACCTTAGAGATAGAACCTACTGGACTATCATCTTCATTGTTTGGTTTCTTTTCTTCACTTAATTTTGTTAATTAGCCTAAAGGCTGAAGTCTGCATCGCACTGTGTGAGTAGCCGGCGTCCTGCTGCTGGGCTTTTTGTTCATCAAATGTACTGAACGTAGTGTGAGAACACGGCTCTATTAGTGTGGAGAAAGATGGACGTAGGAAGACGGCCGCATTAACTATAGGTAAAGGAAAGGACACAGCCGGTAGGCGACTACATGTCAGTGAGCTCTCGAGAAGCAGGACTTGCGGTGCCGCTTGAATTGCTTCTGGGCTGTGCTGTGGTGTGGCTTTCTTTGCGTTCAGTTAATTTCGTCTACCAGGCAGACAAGCAGAAAAGCGAGTGTTTCAACTTGCAGGCGAGTGAGCTGGAGGTCTTGGTGGCTGTGCTCAAGTGGGGGGAGCAGCAGTTGCTCAAGAGGATGGAAGAAAGAGGTGAGCGTCTTGCCTTCGGATCAGTTTGCTTTGAGGTCCCATCTCTTACACCATTCCATTTCCTTTCGGCCTCTTGGGTATGCAGTTAAGAGCTCTGTATAACTACAAACTTCTAAACAATGAAATTCTTGATATAACAAAGTATTTAACTTTCCACTAACATAGTATTTAACATTCAAGGTATATAGCAAAGTATTCAACTTTATAAACATAGAATGTCATGCATTTTTAACACCAAAATAAAATGTATTCTTACAGAAATAGTTGAATGTTTACAGTTAATTGATATAAGAGAGCTTGCACAACGGCTATTGGCGTCGAGCAGCTATAGCACCTTTCACATAGACGCATCCGTGTTGACGCTATCACGTACATCTCCATCCTGACGGTTAACATCCATGATCTATGGTTAAAAACCTTTGTAGTAGCAATGGTAGTTAACAGTGAGCATGTAATCAGAGGAAGTGGTGTGACAGCCAGAAGAGCGTCGCTGACTGGACGCAGAAGTTGGGCTTAAGACGATGTTCCGAGACTAGTTAGAGAGCGGTCGAAAACCACAGCCAATCATACAAACAAGATGTGTTTATTTCTGACTTCAGTGCAGTGGACTCTTGAAACTACCGTGACATCTTGCTTGTTTTATTATGAGTTGTTCTTATCAGAAGTGCGCAGGTAGTGTTCTTCAATTATACCAGTCGAGAAACTTGGTTCCATAAGCTGGAAATGCCCATGGAAAAATTTTTGAAGGGTTAGAAACTGACGCATCATCTGAGGGGGTTGACAGAAAAACACACGGCATGGCCACAATCACTGTAGTCTCTACTGTTATTGTGCAGTTTGCCTCAGCAAGAATTGGAAGCGGTTTCTAGACAAGTTCATGCTATGTAGCATGGTCATATATAGGCTTTTGTGAATATTCGAATTATTATTACAGTATTGAACTTCACTTCGATTCGAATTTAAATTATTAAAAATTTGGAAGTATTAAAGTGAATAAATGAATGTACACTAGTCCACATTTAACTTTCTGTAAAAGTAATTTCAATGTCGTAGAAGAATGCTGAGTCGTGCAAACATTTAAAAACTATATTAATTTGCGTGTAACTTTCGTAAAGGTGGCTCCACTGCAATAAAAAGATGTTAAGCCATGAAACATCTATTCAGGGAAAATTTGCACTGCCGCAAAGCCCCACTGCATTGTTAAGTTAACATGTTACCTTCACAACGATTCGTCAATCCTTAAGTTTATATTCTTGTTATGCTGGCTTATACGCTATAATTATAGTAAATTTTAGAATGTAACATGTTTTAGAGGTTATCACTTGCATTATAACGAAAGTCAGATTATGCTACTATTCAAAGTCGTTTCCACTTATTTTGAACCAAAAAGAATGGAATTTGCACAGGCTTTGCTTAAATAAAAAAGTATTGTGCAGGTGTGTTGCTCATGACAAATATGCTCATTTTTTTTAATAATATCTGATGTATTTCATACCGAAACTTAAGCCATCATATCAATTGGGATAATGTCATGATCTTTCAAAAAAAGAGAGAAATCTTTCTTCAAGACTCTACTTGGAATCCATCCTAGTTTAAATAGCCAATAATATATTGAACAGAAATCATGCAACTCACCCTTTTATCTGCACTCACTGATTACCTCACAATTTAAAGCCCCTGTAAACATTGCTTCTCTCATCCTCACTTTCATTGTGAACAAGGCTCTCACCAGAGAAGCTCAAGCTTTTTTTTGTATTATTTCTTGTTGTCAGTGTCCTTCTTTTAATTTTATGGTGCAGGTGTGAGTTAGAGTAAAATGAAATGCTGCAGTAACTTTTGGGCATCAGCAAGTTTTAAATGTAGATTTTAAAGTGTAAGAATTGTTTTCCTCAATTTTATGAATTTCCCAATCTAAGAAAGAATTAAAGCATTGTGAGCCCTTCATTAAATCGAGCTCCAAGTGTTAAACGAAAACCAGTCTTCTTTCCATTGTTGCTTTGTGTGTGAGGGGTATCAAGTGTGCTATGGAGCACACTGTGTGGGATGAGGCTTTCGTGTTGTCTCATTTTTCTACGGTTTTGAATTAATGTGTGCAGAGCCGAACATTGTGAGCCAGACGACACACAGTGTTGCCAGGCGTGGTGCCCGCAGTCGGCGGGACCTCCTTAGCGACAATGAACTGCGGGACCTGCTCTCCGAGCTGCTGTGCCATGTGCGGACGGCACACGTGCTTCCCCCAGGTGCGGAAGCCTTGCTGTCAGCGCAGCGGCGGGGCCTTTTTCCTCGCCCACCGCCGTGCATGCTGGGAGGGGAGGAGGCACCCCCTTCCAGAGGAGCTGCGGCCTCTTGGTTGACTGGCCCTCGGCCTCGCCTCTTCACCCCTTACGTGGAAGAAGCCAAGGTCAGTACAGTCTGCTGAGGCTCATCATGCACATGGTACCTAACTGGTGGTAAAGCAAGCATGCGTAGTACATGGTGCAGTCTGGAATTGCACTTCTGTTGCTTACCTCTTTCTTCCAAGCTAACTTCTTTGTCCTCTCAGCCATTAAACATTCTTTAAATATTGCCGTCCTGTCTTGTCTGATGAGTTAGTCTACATGAACCATTGAAGAAACCACCTAATTGAGTAAGCGCCTTTCTCTAGCTTTGGCACCAGCAAAGCATTGGAGGTCAGTCTGATTTCCCAATAGTCTTGAAAAGAGGATGCACTGATAGAAACCAACTTATTCCATTTACTGTATTTGTACGGGAAAATTTTCCCACATACAAGCATTGCTTTTCTTTACGTTCATTCAAAATGGCGAGTTGGCCTGTTCTCAAAATGACTGAGCCCACAGTTGTGTTGGAGGTGTGTGAAATGAGTCTAGTACATTCAAGGTGAAGTTTGTTGTGCAGGCCTGGCTGGAGGAGCAGCTCTCCCAGGAGCAAGCATTGGGACCTGTGTCACCAAGCCCCCCCACCTGTCACACATTCCAGACACTCTGTACATGGTCGACAAAGGAGCTACATTCCGAGAGGCGTGCGTGCCACACGGACCTGCACCGGCTGTGCGCCTACCTGACCCTTCACTGCCAGGTGCTCCATCTATTCACGTGCATTTTTGTGGCGACTGCTCGGTTCATAATGTAGTGTGTGAATCTGAAAGGGCCAGAACGCACAAATAGGTGCATGCAAAACTAGCTTTGCACTTCATTCTGCAAACGCTACAGTTGAACATCAATATAATTGATTCTATAAATTGGCAATTTCAGTTTATTTAGCAATCTTTTTCAACCATTGTGTTAAAGGACAATATTACAGTTACAACTATTTGATGTTTTTATACAATGTCAATGGTCAACGCAACATAATGCATATCACATTACAAAGGGAAAAAGATGCAAGGACAGGAAGTAAAATCAACTAAAAAGCAGCTTGACAAGATTCCTGACCCTTACAGCATATCACTTTGACATCATTCTTTCGTTGCAGTATGCTGATACACCAAGACAAATGAGAAGACAAGGGCAAGCGCGTGCACACTTTGTCATAATGAAGCGTGTTAAATTGAAATTCCTTCCGGTTATGCTCATTAATATAGCCTACAAAATTTTCACATTTAATGTAGCCTACAAAATTTTCACATTTAATGTAGCCTACAAATTTTTCACTTGAAGAGTGCTACACAAATTTCACACCAGGCATATTTTTCGCACACCATCTTTGGCAATATGGTTAATACAATGAGCAAAAGTGCTGCACAAGCTTCCTTTAATGACTAATTCACCAGCCAGAGGCAAATTTGAATCACAGCGATTTGCAGGGTGGAACTGAAGTAAAAGCTGGCTTGGCTTGTTTGTGCATTTATGTGACTGAAATTTTGGTTATTTTTATCATTCTATCTGAAAAGAACGCTACATACTCGAACAGTTTGTTGGTATCCAACATCATTTGGTGCCACTTTTCAGTCAGGTGATACCTGATGATCAACACCATATTTTGCACACCGTGACCTTATTAAACATTGCTGAGGGTGTGTTTGTAAAATTTTTGTGCAATTTGCAATGCACCCTCTTTTAAGAACCTTAAAAAAAAAAAGGTAAAGTGTGGAAATTATGCAAGTTAGTTTGATACGTCTGACAAATTCTGGTCTGATGTTTAAAACGTAAGGATGAGAGAGTGCAATTGTTTTTTGCATCTAAGTTATCGTACCTTTGATTGACTGCGACTGCTAATGGAATGTTGTGATGGAAAATATGGATAACTATTGGCCCCTAAGATGAAAGAATGGAACCACTTCAAGAAAGTGGATTAGTAGCAGCAGGGAAAAAATAAGGTACAGTTAAACCTCGTTATAACGAAATTGGAGGGCCGCCGCTATTTGCTCGTTATAACCAATATTTCGTTATAGCCGTAGCGGGCATTTACTGCAAATATTATGCACTGTACTTACCCCAAAAAAAATAGCGGGCGAAATAGCATCCCACCGCACGGTGGTATGCAACAAAATAACCGCACTCCCAAATAAAAAGGAAAAAAGTCATGCACCTGTTTTAATGCACTTCAAAATAGACAGCTTGCATTTCAGGCACACTTAGCTGCAAAGAAGTCCGTAATTGGACGTTGATGCATCTTTCTGATGCGTACGATGGCGCGCTCAGCTGCGGCCCCAATGTTCAAGCCATCTTCGCTGCCCTCGTGAGCGCCGAAGTAGCGGCGCAGTACGTCTACCATGTCTAATGCCTCCGACGCCGTCGGCACGTTTGTCTCCTGTTCGTCGACAGAGTCATCGTCACTGGTTTCGTTACGATCACTGACAGCGCGCACAATATCGTCATCCAGGAGCTGCTCCGTTGCCACCACTTCCGAGTCCGCACTCACATAGTCGCAAAACGACTCGCTGTCAGGCACGACACCGGCGTCATGAACTGCCGTCCATGATGCAGCGACTTCGTCTGATGTGGCAAAACCGTCCGGCACAGTGGGCTCGTCTGATGGCTCATCGCTGGCGTCTGGTGCGGCGGCAAATGAGGCGTGTCGAAAGCAGTTTGCGATCGTGGTCACCGTCACATTCATCCACGCCGCCTGAAGCATTTCGAGCGCAGCGTACAAGTCAACATCGGTGTCTCGCTTCATCCTCATGTTGAGCAGGAGCTTGTCTATCACACGCTTCCGGTAACCTGCCTTCAGCGACATAATCACGCCTTGGTCAAGCGGCTGTATTTTTGCTGTGCAGTTGGCAGGAAGGAACAGCAGCTCGATGTTTTGAAGCACGGCAGCGGTATGGTGGGCGGTGCAGTTATCTAAAACAAGGCACACCTTGCGGTTCGCCTTTGCCAGCTTCTCGTCCCATTCGCAAAGCCATTTTGAAAAAATCTCCCTGGTCATCCAGGCTTTGCGATTGGCTAGGTACTTGACTGGGAGCTGCCTCTTCCCCTTAAAGCAGCGAGGGGATGCACTTTTGCCAATTACGAAAATTGGTAGCTTCTCAGAGTCGGTCATGTTTGCACAAAGTAGCGCAGTGATCCGCAGCTTACTTTGTTTGCCGCCATGGCACGGCTCGCCTTTGAGGGCTAACGTCTTGTGCAGCAACATCTTGAAAAAGAGAGCGGTTTCGTCTGCGTTAAAAATATCCTTCCCCTGTATTTATCTAGCTGCCGCACGATGTTTTCTTTCGCCCACTTGCCTCTGCTTCGTCGACAGATTGCGATTCGCCGCAGACCGCTCTCCCGACAATGTCGTGGCGCTCCTTGAAGCGTTGGAGCCAACCCGAACTTGCTACGAAATTGTCATAGCACATCATGCAGGCAAAGTCTCTCGCTTTTCTTTGCAGCAAGGCGCCGCTCACCGGCAGATTCACGTCCCGCGTGTCCAATAACCATTTAAAAACGGCCCTTTCGACCGCTTCAAAGGCAGGTGCCCTCATCCTCTTAGCGCTTCCTTTCACGCCACGTGCAACAGCGTCAATGATGGACTCCTGCTTGCTCAAGATGGTTGACAGTGTGCTCGTCGATACGCCAAAGCCTCTTGCCACGTTGCCTTTCTTGGTCCCCGATTCGACGGCTCTTATCATAGCCGCCTTCTGATCTCGCGTTACGCGCTTTCGCTTCCCGCCTGGCGCATTCATGTTGCTGGAATCATGAGCGCAGCACGATAAAAGATAAGGCGGAAGATGTCGAAAAAGAGAAGAAACACGCACGCAAAAGCAACGCGGCTCACGTCGGCGAGCGACAACACTTGTAGAGAAAGTGACTGTCAAGAGGAAGGGGCAGAAGGGGCGCTCTTTTGCGCTGCCTTCTAGGAACCGGTTACTCAAGGGGGAAGGGGGTATGTAAGATTAGGAAGCGCGCCTCAGCGCCATGAGAAAGGGGAGAGGGAGAATATAAAGAAGACACAAAAGAAAAGAAAAGGGCGAGACGTTCGCGGAGCTGCGGAGCGCTCCGCTGTCGGTGGTAGCCAAGCGGCGCATGTGCAGTGACCTCTCCTCCGGAAACAGTGCGTGCCGTCTGCTTTGCGCGCGTTGCTGGAGGGCACGTGGCGGGAGTTTTGAACTGCTAAATACAGTTCTCGCGTTGCGCGCCGTCTCAAATTCGCGTTGTGTACTGTCGTGACATCGGCTCAAAATTTTACTTCCTAACAAAATTTGTTCGTTATATCCCATAACAGGCAAATTTTGCCTTGTTAAAACGAGGTTTTGAATACATTGGTTTGTATGGGGACATTCAAGGGGAATTAGGATTTGCTCGTTATATCCATTATTTCGTTATAGCCTGTCTCGTTATAACGAGGTTTAACTGTATTGCTTGAGTACTGTCTTCCTAAGCTAATAATGTTGAGCATATTATGTGAGGATCGTTTTGATTTATTCTTGAATGAAGGTTAACTGGCTATTATATAGAATTGAGGTTGAAACATTGTGACTAAAGTGTTAACAAGTAGCGTGGTTGTTTTTTACCGTTCACATAGGAATAGTGAATTGCAGAGCATTGGTTTCCTTCTGTGTGCAGTGCTAAGTGAAGAGCTGCTGCGCCAGATGCGGCAGCGGATGCAGGAGTTGCGGCACGGTGCGGCGCGCGCCTACTCGCTGGGGGCCAATCGGTGCGCCATCAGCCACCAGCTGCAGCTGCGTGTGGTGCGTGAGGCAGGGCTTCCCGATCAGGCGGCTTCCCTGCTGCCTTTGAACGACGACTGGCTCTCGGCCGCATCGCAAGACCCCCTGGACTTGATGGTGGCGAGGCCTGCTCGAGCTCCACCAAACCCCATCTTGGTCCCGCCTTCGCGAGCCCTGCCTCGACGATTGGCCCCCCCTTCAGACCTCAGGCTTCACAGGCAGCCACACCTGGGAAGGCGGGCGCTGCGATTAGCTGAGGTGCGTAGTCGGACGTTTTGTCAGGGGTCAACAAAAACCACCAGGCCTGTGCGGAACATGCAGCACAGTCACAGAAAAGCTGGAAGAGTGGCCTGTCTAGAGCCTTTCTTAAACACTCGTGGAGAAACTGCTAATAGTACACTTGTATGGTACCCACTACACCCACATTTACGTTAAGTAGGAAAGCGGGCACTATTCCACTAGTGTTTATAATTCCTCGGAGAAGAGTGGTATCCGCTGTGCACCTGTAAGGCATTATTTGCGCTTTGTTGGTGCTCTAGCTGATGTCAATGAAGAATTATCTCTGAGCTTTTTGTAAGAGGTTGGAAGCATTTAGCAACCCGCCCGTTACGCATTTCACTTTGTGTGATTCCAGGTTGCTGCTTAACTCTTCTGAAAGGCTCTATAACACATGTTAACGCGATTCTGCTGTATTGGTGCACGCCGGACAAGGTTAGTTGAGTTTTCCGGAGAGGCCATTTTGTTGCGGTGGAGAGGAACGGCTATTTAACCGACATGAAGCCCGCATAGGCTCAGTGACACAGAGCCACCCACAAAGGTGGCTCTGTGTCGTGAACTTATCTCGGGAGCACTTGCAAAGGATGGATTTGAGAGAGAGATGTGGGTGTGGCAAAATGAACGCACTTTATCCCACCAAACAAAACTGCAAATAGTCGTGCAAATACTCCCAACAGTGAAACAAGTATGTACACAATAATCCGCTGTACAAGCGAACCGTAACTAATACAAATCCAAGACAAGTTCAGTTTAGTCTGAAGTCTAAACTGTCTCTAGCCAAGATGGCATCTTGGTGGCTGCTCTCATGCGCTCTCGCAATAATAGAACTTTTTTACTGTTCATATGCCATTCTCGGAGCTACGAAAAGTGGTATCGCCTCGCCGTCGTCGTCCTTGATGCACGTCCGCTTGACAATCCACACCTCTGCATTGCCGGTGTCTCGGCCCTTAGCTCCATTTTCGGCCTCTCTAGGCCCTGCTCATCAAAGACTTCCCCGCTGATGCGGCCACTCGGCTCACTGGTGTGGGCTGCTCCCTTCCTAATGCGATGTGGGAAAGCTGCAAGCCCACCAGGAACTGCTGGGAAGGATACGGCAAGTCCGGGCAGCCTCACTCGGGATTATCTCCAAGGTCGATGGCCACTTCCCGAGCTCTTTGTGCCGACAACCTCAGAATCGGGCGGTCATGCTGCTCCCGTCGCGGTAGCGACGCTTGTTTCCCACGTCTTTGCAGCTTGGCTTTCCCCCACACAGTGCCAACTCATTCTCTGAAATTTTTCCTCTCAGCTCGAGTCGCGTGCCAAGAGCTTTTTTCCGTATCTTGCGTTTACGTGGCTGGTGCACTCGCTCTCGGGCGACTCTTCTCTTCTCGTGCACCGCCGCAGCGCTTCCGCGTTTGGTCTGCGCCTGGTGCCTCTCCTTTATTCATGACACTTTGTGGTAGAATACTGGGCTCCCAGCAGAGGGCCTGGGTTAGAATCTCATTCTATCCTGGGTATACTTTCTTCATCTCCTTTTTTTTTTTTTCATATTTTGCGCGATAGTGGTTACAGACACTGCCAGCAGACAACTACAGTGCCGAAATATGCCTTTGTGATCTCATAACGGCTCTCGTTGTAAAAAGTGGGTTTGGCAATTTGTATACAGTTTATTGCAACTCACTTCCGTAACGACCTGCAAGGTGGAAGAAGGGCTGTTTGAGGGAAAAATGCCAAGAACTTGTTTAGAAACAATGTTAATGAGACAGTGATGCCAAGGAAAGTATAGACGATGCTGTTAGTAGTCATTGTAATGTAAATGTGAAGAAAGAAAAGTGCACTAAAGATAACTTGTCGCTGGCAGGCACCGAACCTGAAACGTTCGAATAATGTGTCATGTGCTCTACCAATATAGAACAGCGGTCGTCATCTGCAGTTACCATTTTATTCACTTTTCTGCCTTCACATTTACGTTACAATGACTACTAATAACATTCTCTATACTTTCCCTGGCATAATTGTCAGTGCTCATTAATATTGTGGCTAACAAAAAAGAATTATCACTTAAAATTCCCACTTCTTTTCTTCAAGCACCAGTTTAGTAGCACAAAGCTACAGAAAACGATTTGCTCTCACGCTGCCTGTTGCAAGCATACTGGTTAGCTCAATTGGCAGTGCGACCGGCCTGGAAAGGCGTTTGTCCCGTTTTTGACACCTGGACTGGAACAAATGTTTTGAGAGCCGGTGAGCTGAGCTTTTTCAGAAATCTGTATGGATCTCCTTACGGCTTTGTACTATGAAAATGGGCATTGTCGATTTTCCTTATCAGAATGCAGTTTGTACTCTACACAAAACCAGTTAGAGCACTTGGGTTCATGCTGTTGCCTCGAAGACTCTGCCTGATTCTGAGGTGAATTATTTTTTCCCTTTAGCTGCAAAGCGACAACCTCAGCAAGATGATCCCAGACATTGCCATGGCAACGGCGACCCTCGAGCACTTGGACCTGGCAGAGTCCGACAAGGACGAGTATGGCTGCGAGGTCGGCGACTTATCGCCCGTCCATATGCTTGTCTGACCACGGCCACAACGGCGGCACGTCAGCCTTCAGCGGCTTGTGCAGCCTTGTGAGCAACGATCGTCATCTAATGTGTTCAATGCTGTGTTGGCCCGTGCCGCACAGTCCCGTGACGACAGCTTTGAGGGGGAACTGGCGACGTCGTTGTGGCATGTCAGGGACAGCTTTTCTTCACTGGGACGTCGTCCAGTGCAGAGACTGTGGTACGCCTCTGGTGACCCCAAGAGACACTGACTTGGTTCTTTTATGTTTGTTATTGCTCTGCTATTTATTTATGATTCAGTCTTCCATTGCTCTTTGGATGCAGTGTCAGTGGGCACCCCCTGTTGGTTCGCAGTCTTTGTTCGTCTTTGTAAGCAATGCTGGCACACAAGTGGAAGGAAAAAGTGAGTCAACTGTCTATTTGGGCTCAAGCTTGGGATTTCGAATACAAGCTGTACAAACTTATTTTAGGGCTGTCATCTTTAGAACCATTTCTTTGATATGCGAGATTATTTAACATGTATGCCTTTGAATACAGCAAGCTGCATAGCAACAGGATTAGTCATGAAATTCGTGCATTCAGTGCAACTGTGTTAATACTTGTAAGATTGAAATTGCTTTCCAAGAGCTTACTGCAGGATCTGTAAGTGCCTAGATTTTTTTAGGCATATTTATTTTGATATTTTGTAAATGTATTTTAAACCAGTTTCTTTTAATTGCAATATTTTTTTTATTACGTAAAAATGAGGTACCTAGAAAATCTGGTTGTCAAATTGAGAGCTCAGATTTATTACAGCCTAGCCGCATTATTGAACACAAAAGTACTCTCACTATATTTGACAGCGATGTCTACAAGAATAGCCCTAATCAGGCCCATGTGTGAACACATGTCCTCTTCTAGATGCCTGTTGGTAACATGTCGATACGTTTTATGGTAACAATAATAAATTATGTTGATGTGTTTTGTACCATCACTAATGGACCACTTGGAACACTGGCTGCTGCCAGGCCAGTGTTTGTATTTCTTACTCGAGAGAAACCACCAACGTCTTAGTAGCCACCTCAATACTCTTTGATTAAAGCTGCATTGCATGGTAGTTGAAATATGGCAGCTGAGGTTTGTTCAAGGCTGCTGTTTGTACAGCATTCTGCATGTACTGTGCAATATTCTAAAATTCAGTGGCCTTTATACGCTTACTTTTTGGCTGTGCCACTTCAAGTACACTCAAACCTCATTATTACGAATTTGCATCTTACATGAAAATAAGTTCGCTATATTCGAAAATTCTTTATAAATGATCTTAACACCTCATCTATTGCAAAACCCTTTTTCATTTACTTTGTTTACTTTGTTATAAACAATATTTCGTTATATCCGGCTTCATTGTATCATAGTTTGACTGTAATTGCACAACTTTGAAAAAAGTCACAGTTTGGCCACTAGGGTGAAGCAATTATTGCAGCAGGTGCAAGATGGATACGAGGTAAGGCTTCCTCTTCTGGCCTGGTCAACAAAAAGTGCGGCTGTTACAGTGCAAGGCAGCTGTGCGTCATGCTCTCAGATGGGAGCCAATCTCACTCGAGATGCAGCCGTACCCATATGATTGAAATGCACAGTTTCTACAGGAAGCAACGCAGCCCCCCTTCGTGCTTTTTTGTCCAAAGGTCGGTGTGTTTCATCTCTACTTCATCCTTATCATGTGCTTTCACTTGCGCATAGGACATAATGTTATTGATTTGGTTTTCATACAGATCATGATGACAAACGTAGAAATGTGCCTCGACTGTCCACATCATTGTATTGCAATAATATCAAGCCGTGGCTGTAATGGACCTTTGTGCTGCCAGAGCACACATTTTCAGCGACATTTAAGCATGCGTTGCAATAACCAATATTGTGCTTGATCCAAAATTTTCAGTTTTGCTATGGCAGGACTTCATTTCATGGACAGTATGACCAGCCATGTGTCTAGCTTACTATATCATATCATATAATTTGTTACATCTCATTATATGCCCATGTGTGGCAATGGAAAAATTATTTTGCTCAACTGCCAGTGTGCTTTAACAGAACAAACTGCTGAGCTAGTTGGTTGTCCATGAACATTAGAAGAGTAAAGCACAAACACGACAACAGTTTGCATTGGCTTGACTAGTGTGGTCATTTTGGTGCCACTAAGCCAATGTTTTAGGAGATATATTGTATGCTTTGGTCTTAAAATTGTAGCATATTTATTTATGCTTTTCACTGTTTAATGAAATTGCACACGAAAATTTCAAAGGAACTGGCGTAACACAATTATGATCCTGCAATCATTTCATCAAAACATAGGTCACGGTCACAAACCTATGCTTCACTTTTTTCTGTATCATATCACCTTTCTGCAGTTTGGGAAATGTAGCACTTCAATGTAAGCCCTGAAACATGCTGACAGAGTTTGCAGATTTGTGATGTAGGTTTCGGGTACCACTGTGAACTTGAGAATGCAATTTTTTTTCTAACCAATTGTCACCTATCTTTGTTAGATTACAGGCCCTAAATTATATTTCAAGTGGTGAATGTTCCATCTCATTATCTCAATCACTATAAATTTTATTCACACAGTATGTTTAATGTCAGCCTAATCGGAGTGCACATCTCATGATCAGGAGACCAGATATCTCCTCAAGCAAGAAGATTGAAAGGCTCAACTAATTAAAAAACTGAACGTAGCAGAGTGTAGCATAAAATAAAATATTCCTTTTTTTACAATAATTTCTGCAGGATGTGTGAGCGTAACTACCTTGTTTTAAAGGTACCATGAAATATTTATTCTACTTATTTATCCTCCAAACTGAGAGGGCCCAGCTGACTATACACACATACTAATACGTATTTGACTGGAAATTCGAATTTGAAATCACTGTCTTGAAACTTCTCCTACCAACACATCATGGCATGAACATTAGGCAATGAGGGTTACTGACTTTGCCTTGAAATAATGCAATAAATGCGTTGGTTTTGATGATGTCATGCCCAACAGCACAGAAAATGGGTGGCTGTTTTCTCGTGTCTTCAATATTGTTATTAGAATGATGAAAAGGTACTACTCAGACACACATGAAAAAATATGATGTATGCCCAACTCTTGTAATCACATCCTGTTTTTACAGTGTAAAGAAGCATGGCCCTTGAGATTGGGTTCTGTTACTGGAGTGAATTATCATTGTGAAGATCATTTTGTCATCCATCTGGGTTAGCTTGCTGCTGTATGATTGTATTGCGACAGTGAAAAATTAAAACAAATTTTTGTGTTTTTATCTATTGCACTGAAATACGGTCGGCTTGGTGTGAGGTGTGAACATTTTATTAAGCAATGCATAATCAATGCTCTAAACTTTGATGGCATGGCCTCTTTAATCGACACATTGTGTTGGCACTTCTTAAATGGAACAACTGCCTGTAATATGATTGGTTTTGTACCTGACTACTGCAACTTTATTTGTGTCTTCATAAGTGGAACCTGCGTTAAATGGAACATATATTTTTTGGTCCTGTCAAGAGCCATTAAATGAGAGTCCAGTGCATTTTTAGTCGTTTTGTGCCTGGCAACAGCACAATGCAATGTGTGATGATATGCAAAAGGTCTCATCTTGGGATTGCTTGACCATTTGATGGACATCTAGGAACAACGCTGGAGCAATGAGGTATAATTTCGAGCACATATTTAAGGGGAGATGCGAGTTGAAAAACACAACTATTTCCTAAAATTACATTTTTCGTTATTGTTTGCTTTCACCAGTTTAGTTTATCTACTTTCATGACAAAAATTTGAAGATTGCAATTGAACTCGAAGCAGATAAAAAATTACTTTCAGAAAGCTCAAGGTGGCTACTAAAAACTAAAAAGAGCTCATTGTCTAGAGCCTTCTAAAAATTGTCATGTGGCTGTTTGCCTTTGCACTTTGCATGAGTAGTTCACCAAAGTCACATGCTCAAAATAACACTGATTGCCAAGCTCTCATGATGAGCAAAATCATCTAAAAAAAGATATCTTTGCCACTCAGATGAGGTTTCAATTGTACCTTAGAAAATTCATTTTTCTGAAGATTCATTTTTGGGCAACTTCTTGAGTTTAGACATCATGTTTTTGGTATTTCTGATAATCTCATTGGGATGAAATTTTGCCCTCGTATTCCTTAACATGTGAAAGGTGCAAGTATCTCCGTTGAAACTTGATATCACCTATATAATTATTGCGAATCTAAATTGAATAGTTACCGGCTGCTGACCCGCAGGTCGCGGGATCGAATCCCGGCTGCGGCGGCTGCATTTCCGATGGAGGCGGAAATGTTGTAGGCCCATGTGCTCAGAGTTGGGTGCACATTAAGGAACCCCAGGATGTCGAAATTTCCGGAGACCTCCACTACGGCGTCTCTCATAATGGTATGGTGGTTTTGGGACGTTAAACCCAACATATCAATCAATCAATTAGAGTGAGCAGTTAGTGTGAGCTGAGGACTGTAAGCATTCTCGCATTACAATTTTTTTTTTGTCCATTAGGATGTCTTATGTGCCTTAAAATATATTATGGCCTTTCGGAGAAAAAATATTGCAGGGATACGATACAGGGTTGGATCCAGCCACTCCTTTTGGGGGGTCCTGACTCTATAGTGTTTAACAAGTAGTTCCAGTCATCACAATAAACCCATCACGGCATAGGTAATCTTTGTGCTCTCAGTGGCCCCCCTCATGCGACAGGCACTGAAGGAAGGGAGCTGAGGTGCTGAAACGTGCTAGGTGGGGGAAGGGGGGGCACAGCCTCTCCCTTCACCCCTCTTGATCCACCACCGACTCGATATAATTAATTGGTCGATTAAAAATGCGAGTTTATTGAGCGCGAGGTTTTCTCCGGCAGTCGGCTGAAGTCCACGTAATTACACTACTTGCTAAACTGCAGGAACATGCGTACACTGTGTCAGCAGACGCCTCAGGTTGGCGGGCAGCTTTGTGCCGCACTGGAGAGGATTTTTGTACCGAACGGTGGCCTTTCGTTGATCGCCCTGGCTGCCAAGGTTTGGCTCACGTGTGCAGCCAGGAGAGGTTTTGTTGAGTCTCAACCCCCCCCCCACTCCTGTGCAGCTGCCCCCGACGTACGAACTTACAGTACATAAAACTATGTAATACATGACACGAAACCATGGAGGGAGGAAACAACTCATTCCTTCCTCCGTGCATAAAACCACATTTGTTTTTGTGGTACTGCGGTATGGATGTGGCTACATACGGCTTGAAATAGTTTCGTTTTGTGCGGAGGTCGCGGCAGTCGCGTTTTCCCGTCAGATGTCGGACTGTTATCACCTGTGCATGTGTTGTGTGTTGCAAGGGTGTGTTGTGTGCATGAGCGGTGTGTTGGGCGCCTACTGCTGGGAGTCGGCCCACCGCCGGTGTGCGGCGGCGACGCCACTGGATCCCGATGGACGAGTCGTCCTCGCCCGAGTGTGGCTTGCCGGCAAAGTATCAGAAACTCGCCTACGAGTACTCCAAGGTAGCACACTTGCTTCATCCTAATGCACGACCGTACTGAGACTTCGCAGGGGGTGGAACACATGCATTGTGTTATGTTGATTAACGAGTTATTCGGAGGGAGGCGAACTCGCAGAACGGACGTGGAGTGAATCGCGAACTAACGATCTCGTTTAGTTACGTCCCGTGCTTGCGACGTTTTTACCGCTTCAGTTGAGTACACTCAGGTTTGTTCCTCGGAATCAGATCAGTGCAAGAAAGTTCGTCGATGATGTAGCTTACTGGGAACTAGTTCGTTATTCATACTTTAGCGCTAAACAGCGCTAAGAAGGCCGGCCACAAAACTAAAACACACGGGACAGCGCTTGTCCTGCGTGTTTGCTTTTTGTGGCCGGCCCTCTCATTTTTTTTTTTTTTTTTACGCTATTGAGCTTCAGTAAGTTCGTCAACGCACGCAGATTTCATTCTTGAGATCGTATCTTCGTCTTTGTATGAGCGTGCACCGGGACTCTCCTCACTGTGAGAAAAAAATTGTCACTGTAGTTCTTCGATCATGTACGTGGTACATATGTAGCGCAGCCAACTAGCGTATATATATATATATATATACAGGATTCTTATTGCAACGTCTGTTTGTTCACCTATATTTTAACAGCTACGTGCGCAAGCTCAGGTCTTGAAGAAGGCCGTGGCAGATGAGCAAGCCAGGAATGTTGAATTCAAGGTAAGCAGAAGATTCATTGTGGCTGCAGTGTGTCACCATTTTTTGAATATGATTTACAGGATGTCCCTGAAGGACAAAGAGCAAGCAATGCGAAAGTTGCTGCAGGAAGTTGAAAGCCTCAATTTTTGCAACCAACAGCTAACAAAGCGCGTCAGCTTCCTCCAAGAAGAACTTGAAGAAGACCGCTCGAAGAAGACCAAGGTGGGGAGACCTGCTTCGTTGGTATTTTCTTTGGTGCAGTAAAAAAGGGATGAAGTTACCAGAAAGTATTCTCAATACCACTTCTGCTATTTGTTTTGAATTAAATAAATAAAAAGCATGAATCTTTTTTCTCGGTAACACTAATCAAATTAACTTGGCACAGCCACCCAACATGAAATGTCTCTCCTACCTTCACGTAAATCATACTGTACCCATGCAATTTCAAACACTGCACACCTGACAAAAAGAAAAAAAGTCCTTAATATTTCCCCTCTTTTCCTCATTCATAGCGAAGGTCTTGTTCTGGCAGACCTGATGCCTTCAGCTAGTATGCAAGGGATTATTGGCTAGCTTGCAAAAAGATCACTTGTTACGTGATGTCAACAGGCACGAAGATAAAGGGGTTCAGACTCATCGTAATGGCTACGAGCGGCACTGACCCACTCGCAGTTTAAATGCAGAGATACACATGATAAAGCGTAGTGCACAGGAGGATGGCAGCTGCTGTAGCCGAATTGGCAGAGCATCAAATGAATTATTTGAGGGCTGCTCGTTTGGCGCCAGCTGGCAGCAAGATCTGTTGTCGTCCACTTTCATTTCTTCACATTATCGCAATAGATTCAGGTAGTGTCCCCTAAAGTTAGCCTTATTGTCTGTTGGTTCTCTTTAATGTTTTCTGTCATGTTAAGGTCATCAAGTTAACCCTATGTAGCCAAAATCAGACCCAACTGGCTGTAATGTCTTTGCACAGTAAACTCGTGGTTTTGTTCTACACGATAGATCACAGAGACAAAGACTAGTATGTTTATAGCATTGCTAGGAAAGTGAACACGTACAATAAGCTGCACTCATCTCTAATATCTTTTACTAAATATGTTAAAATTCGGCCATGGCCCGGCAAATAAGCTCTCCATTTTTAAAATAAATGCCTTCAATGTGGTTTTAATACGAACTAGAGGCAGGCACCTATTTTTGTGAAAATCATGTCACTTGAGAAGCAAATTTGTGTTGTCATCGTCATCCTCTGCCTGTTTTAGTGCACTATTGGACAAAAGACTTTCTCATTGATGTCTAGTTTTTCTTGTCCTGTGAGAACTGATTACATTTAATCCCTGCGAACTTACTTTCTTTGCTCCAACTCTCTGCCTTCCTCGACTGCATTTCCAATGCCTTGGTAGCCTTTCTGTTGCTCTTACTGCCTGCTAGTTATCCGATTCTACAGATTGCGTGGCCAGCCCAGGTACATTTCCTTTGCTTGATGTAAACTAGAATATTCTTTTCAGTGGTGATGTATACAATTGTACACATCAACTTCAGAGGCTTGTCATGCACTGTTTGTTTCTTCAAATGGCTTGAAAAGCAGTGTGCACATTCGTGTGGGCTCCCTAAGTGGTCTACTAGTGATTATTTAACATCATTGTGCTGCATATTGCAGCAAATGATCACTTTGCTGGAGACACTATCATGGTCGACGTGCAGTCCAGGACCGCCAATAGTTTTTTTTTTCTTTGATCAAAATTCATTCAATCAAAACCAAACTGTGCTTGCATTTTGAGCTTAATATTTTATTCTTTTTATGCAAGGATTGAAGCTGACTGATTACCAACTTATTATTTTATTACATGCTAATTAACGTTAATTACTTAAAAACGCAAAACAACTTATTCCTAACCCACTCCTTCATTTTCTTTATTTGAATGCAATACCGAGTGCCCTGGGATCATGCAATGTGAATTCCACGCAGTTGCAGACAATGGATCATAATTCGTGCCTGAAGGAGATAGGTTACTTCTGCTTGTTCCTTGACCTATTCTGTCATCTTCCTAATGTTACTCCTATCATTCCATTGCATGATTCTCCACTTCTTCTCTAGCTGCGGTATTATCCTCAGTGTTTCAGTCCTATATGTTGGAGCAGTAGCACGGCTAAATGAGCTTGTTGGTGCCTGTGTCCAGTGTTAATTTGCAAATCATATCTTATCTCAAGATTAAAACTCACAGTATGACAGTGTTGTCACAATAGTCCAAAGATAGAAATTTAGATTTTGTGACCAAATTTTGCTCTTGGCAGTGTCTTTGATGTCTCACAAGCCTTGATGACTATTATTTTTTTTCCTCAGCAAAAGAAACAGCATGCTTCTTCGGTGCACCAGGGCATCATTGATGCCGAGTTGCAGAGTCGCATTGAAGAGAATGAGAAACTGCACTTACAGGTATTTGCTTTGAAATGCTTCTTTTCTTTTCTTTTTTGTAGAAAAACTGTGGAGAATTCAGTTATTTGAATGTCTTGCATTTTAACTACGGCAGAGCGGGAGCGTAAATTGTATAAATCAAATGCTAGAGAGCTATGTGTATAGCAAAATTTTTGGTGCGAAGCAAATTAGGATGTTGTAGTGTCAGTGCGAATTGAATATTTTTAGAATATTTTGAAGTGAAATTGCACAAAAAAATGTTGGACGATTCTTAAGCATATTTCTATAAGATAGCAACATTCTTTTCGTTAGGTTGACGAAGCCCTGTCGGGGTGGTATTTCATAATTGTCTTATCAAGAATGAGGCAATGCAGAAGCTAAATTGTATTTATGTACATTATTTGTTGCAACCAAAGTGTCGCTGACGACACTTTACACAATTAAGGCATAGATGCCACTTCCTCAGCCTCTTCTCTTTCAACATCTGTAGAAGCCCAGCTGATGTGGCAGAAAAGTGTGTGCTGCCTTCAAATCCGCATTTTAAATGTCAATATATAGGAACGTCTGAAATTTTGGATGCTAAAAATCTCTGGCATCTTATTTTTTGAACTTCCTGCCTAAATTTTATGTTGGAAGTTGCATTAATTGATCCCCCACATGTGCCACGTAGATCACCTTTATGGTGAAACCGGCGTTTCTTTCAGTTAATACATTTGCTACGACTGTAGCGGAGTTTGAAAGAGAGCTTTGCCGCAATATTACTGTGTGATGAGGTGAAGCAGTTTAAAAATCTGAAGGGGCCACTTTTAAACGAACGTTTACTGTATTTTTGTGTGTGGAAAGTTTGACTATTGTAGAGCCTTAAAGGCAGCTTTGCCAAAAAATAAGTGTAATGAGGTGAAGCATATTTGAACAGTTTGAATAGCAAAAATTTTAGTGCGAATGGAATAGCCAACACTATTAAAAAAATTCGATATTTCTAATATTTGAAAAATATTCGCCACATGATTTCTGTTCGATATCACCATGCTGCAACACTGTTTTCTTGCACACTTGCCACACTTACAGAACCGGGTGGTTGTTATTCTCTGCGTACTATCTTTCGTGTGGGAGTCTTAAGGAAGCTACAGACAATGGGTCCTTTCATGTATACATTGCCTTCTTATGGTGCTGATGCAAGAAATTTTCCACTTAGTATCAAAAGCAAAGGAAAAAATTAAGGAGGTACCTTTGGAATAACAAAAAGTGGTGTATGGGAATCACTGGATGAATGAAAGGTCATGGTAGAACTTGTACCCATATTAAGTAATGAAATATTCAGTAATGGCATTTCAGCATGAGCAACAAAGAAAATGTTTTTCTTCAATTACATAACGTTTTTCATATGTGTGGTCATTTCCCTGTCCAGGTGTCGGCAGCAGAGTTGGAACACAGGGAGACAGTTGAAAAGCTAGAGGCGAAGCTTGAAGAGGTGCAGCAGGTTCTTGCCACTCATGAAGATCAACTCAGCGATGCAGTTACTAAAAGGGAGGAACAGATAAACAGGCTCACTCAGGAACGGGCTAAGCTGGAGGTAAAAAATGCCTTGCTGGTCGGCTGTGATGCTGGAGATTTCAGTAGAGAAGTGTTTGGCATTGGTGCCCAAGCAGTTTGTGCTTGCAGCTTTGCATAGTTGTCACCTTATCTCTGGAAAAATCTGCTCTTGCTGCTTAACTCATTGTGCGACGCATGCAAGTCCTCATGTACGTCTAAGTAGACACGATCTGTCGCACTTTCAGGCAGATATTGATATGGTGGACCTGAACTCTGAAATAGCAGTATGATGCGAGAGAAATTATTTCATCATTAAAAGTCGTACATATTGTTACGGGAGGGTACCCAGTGCATGTACCCAGCACCTCCACCAAAATGTTTCGGGAGGGTACACAGAGAAACGAGGTTACAGCTAAGATATATTTACATGACGCCAAGCCTAAGCCAAGATGGCAAGCCAGAGCGTGCCCCACATCCCAGAGTCACGTAGTCTTTCTCGCTGTCTGTCTTGATTCTTCAGCGTGATGTAGTCTCGTAACAATATGATAGCAGTACACTTTCATTACGTTAGGTGGTCATTTACCACATGTTTGTTGGAAGCCTGCAATTAGGTAGGCGATTCACGCTTAAGTTGCGCTATGTCATTCTTTCAAAACAAAAGCCCTAGTATAGCTTCAAGTTACACTACATAGCTCTTGAATTGTTTCTAATTGGGCACTATTTCTTTTAATTAGGTGAAAATCGGTAATGGAGTACAGTCCAAACTTCAACAAGAACTATTTCCTAAGGGTGATTCATTGACGAAATAAAACAGGCGCTCGTATTGTTCAAATGGAAATAAACTAGAACTGTGCAAATAGCAAAATCGAACGTTTACTGTATGTGTTTGTCTTCTGCAAGCTCTGATAGTTCGAATAATGAAATTTCAGTGCAAATTGAATCAAATGGCAAATGCTTTTATGAAATATTCCAAATTTCGAATATTTGCACCCTCAAAATAATAATATTTACATTTCGAGGCCATTACAAGGTTCTTGTTAACTGCGAAGATGTGTGCACAACAGGGCAGTTATGTTTCTTGTTGCGTGTAGTGTGCATGTATATATCAGGAAAATTATCTGTCTTTAGTTAACATTTTTCATCTGCAGAAAAGGCTGGATATGTATCTTTAAGCCATTATAAGAACACATACTTGAGTGTATAGTATTACTTGATGGAAGAAAGAATTCTTTTTCCACCAATGTTAGTTTTAACATATGTGGCCAATCAACATAATGTGAAAAAAATTTTTAAGCAAAAAGAATTGTAAGAAAACTGCAGGACACAGACAAAAATATCTGTGTTTTTATCAATATGAGAAAAAAAAAAAAATTTAGAAGATACAGTAGAATCTCGGTCACACCAACCCAGCTGGTATGAATTTGTAAAATTTGTCAGCTGAATGCTATTTTGTTCAGTGGGCTGAAGTTTAGATGCTTCAAACAGTTTCTCATGTTGAGAGAAGTTACATGAACTCGGGTACCGATACTATCGAGCATCAGCCAACTGCACCCTGTACCAGAAGCAGCAAAAGCCTGACTAGCACGCTCAGTCAAGACTGTGCTTATCGTTTGCCATGATCACTCTGGACTACACTGTCAACTCGATCATGTATGGTGACAACTAGGCTTGCGGAATAGTAAATTTTAGGTTTGAAGTGAATGGTGATTTGGCCCAATAATTTCGAATAGAATGCAAATAGTATATATCACATCTTATAAACAAAAATGAGCATATTTGTCGTGACTGTACTAATCTGCAAAATATTCTTTTAAAATTGAGACATGGCATGTGCAAATGTCGAGTTTGGTTCAAAGGAAGTGGAAGCAACTTTGAATAGTAGCAAGATTTGTACTTTCGTTAGAATGCAAGTGATAACCTGTAAAACGGGTCACATTTGAAAATAGACTATTGATAGAGCTTACAAGCTGGTATATTAAGCTTTTAAACTTTAAAAATAATGAATCGATGTGAGGGTAATAAGTTCATTTTACCTTGAAGTGGGGCTTTGCGGCAGCAGCGGATTTTTCCAAGAAGAGTGTATTCACGATATAGAATCCCTTTGTCGCAGTGAAACCATCTTTACAGGGGGTTGCATGTGGAACAATGTACAAGCGTGGCCACTGATAGAAGTAACAGGGCGCGTGTGGCCATGCTCCTGCGGACCATGAAGTGGGTGCCACAGGAACTATTGTGGTGCAAATACAGTCAGCGCCAGAGGCGTAGTTAGCTGCGCATCGTCCTGCTATGGTTCCTCCCACTTTGCCGCAGGCACTGATAAAAGCTTGCGCAATGTAGATTCTGCAGTTCGCCGCGAAGTGGGAGGAACCGTAGCAGACGACGCTGCACCTAACTACGCCTCTGGCACTGACTGCACTTGCATCAAAATAGCTCGCACAGCGCTCCTCGTGTAGCTCAGTGGAGCGTGGATACCCGCTCTGTGTTACCTGTAAGAGTGGCTGCACTTGTTCATTGCGGCTACTTTGAAATTTCAAATAATATAAATTTTAATTGAACTGAATTCAAGCACGTTAATATTGATTCGTATATTCCAAGTGCTCGAATATTCGTGCAGGCCTAGTTTTATAGGGCGAAGCTCCTTAAGGTGTGGGTCTGTACATCCTCCGATATATAGTGGTAGTAGTAGTAGGTAGCCACTGGTGGCACATACCCCCTCTAGAGCAGGTGTGTGCCACAGGGGATACGAGGTGTTCAATAGATGGACGCATGGATAGACTGACAGACAGACTAGCAGATGGATGGATGGACGTGCGGACGCACGGATGGTCGCACGGACGAACGGAATCAAGAATGAACGGACGGACGGAAGCACGGACGGGCTGATGGGCGCTTCACCCAACTCATCATCATTCAGTCCGTGGACATGCTGTTGTGGCATACTTTTCTTCTTCTTCTGGCTCGACACACTTGGGACATAAGCTAGTAGTGGGTAGTCTGCTGAGGAGAGAAAGAGGTAGTTGGGACAATGGCGTAGATGCATTAATAAACCGTGCTGTGTTTTCGGAACCAGCGTTTCAGAGTGCTATATTTATTGATCACGTCCGGGTCACCAGTAAATATAGCACTCTGAAACGCGGTTCCGAAACACAGCGCAGGACACTGTGATTTTTTTTCTGAACTAGGCGAGCACTTGTTTTATCTTGTCAAAGTGATGGGGCTCATTGGCCATGTTTACATATTGCCGCATTGTGTTGCGATTCGTATTGAAGTGACTTAGTTTTTGAAGTATTTGGAAGTGAGTTGATTGGTAAAAATGAATCTAAAAACAGTGCTAATTCACTCATGGACAAGAGAAGTACGTGCACGGATAGACACTGTTCTTGCATGATGTATGTGTAAATTAGTGCTGTTTTTCTTTAGATGGAGTGTTTGACATTAGGTGTATACACTAATTTCTTTCACTTTTTGTAGCTGAAGTTGAAGTCATGTGAAAAGGAGCTGAAAGAAGTGTCTCTGAAGAATGAACTGAGGTAAGACAGCTGTTATACTTAGCAGGCCTTATAACTTGCTTTTATTTATTTACTGTTAATTCTTTTGTTAATCTTTAGTGAATTCTAACCTTATATTTCAATTGGTCTTTATCTTTTGCAAATGAAATTCATGCTTTTGAAGGTTTTGTAGCTACTTTGGTAGCGTTGGCATTGTGTGCATTTTACGCTATTATCGGCGAAGATAATTGCACCCTGTCAGCTGCCTTGGTGCAGTTATGGTGCTCAGTTGCTGATCCAAAAGACGGGGGTTTGATTCCAACCGCGTTAGTCACATTGTGGCAGAGGCAGCATGCTATAGACCTGTGTATTGTACAATGGTTGTGCATGTTAAAGGGACGCTGAAGCAGTGCTCATTTGCAGAAAATGCATTAAGCCAATAGAGCAAGTAATATTGATTATTCGCCGACCAATTAGAACTCGGTGCATCAGATGCAAAACTTTTTTGCATGGCTTTAAACAAGCAGGTCATTGCCCGATGTGGGCAAGGTATTCGAATATACCTGCGACAATAATTGCGGTAATGAATACTAGTGCAGGTTCAGGAACAGTCAAAGCATACTCGTGCATCGCCTGTAGCAGCATTGTTTTTCATCTCGCCGCTAGTGTTTACCATTGTGGTTACACTGCACCTTACTCATAGTCTCGTAGTGCCCTGATGACTTTGCACGCATTAGGTGAAGATAGCCTAATAAAATGTGTGTGTATTGTCTGCTAGCATAGCTGATTATCTTGTTCAATTAAGGATTTTCTGTGCATTTTCGATACCTTGATATTTCAAAAATACACAATATTTTCAGTGTTCTCGTGAGATTTGCTATATTAAGCCAGACATAGCCTAACTTTGCTCATCGTGAACTTGTTTACAGCGCTGTAAACAAGTTCGCGATGAATCTCAACCAACTGGCCCAACTTACTGCTTTACTGCAGTAACTGTGCTCAGCCTGTGTGAGTAATTACGTGCAGCCTATGTGGGTAATTACGTGAAAAGAATCCCGTTTTATAGTATCTTTCAAAAAGAAAAAACCTTTTCAAAATTTTCTGCTAGTTTAATGTGTTGTACCACCAAGTGGATATTGTGCCTATCATACAGTCAAATCTCAATAATTCGAACTCGAAAAGGTTCAAAAATTCATTCGAAGTAAAAGAAGTTCAAATTAATGAAAGCCAAATAAACAGAGGGCTCTTCATGCAGTGGCGCATGTGCGTTGAGCTCATGCACGAGGGGGAAGTTTCAGAAAACTTACATTTGTTCACAAATCACAGGACATCCGTTATTAATTGAAGTAATCGGTGATGCGCGTCTGCACACGTTTGCCTTGCAGGGAGTCAATCAATTTCGCACGCAGCTTGCAAAGCGTTTCTACTTCGGCTTCAGCATTCTCCTGGCAAGAGAAGTTGCGCGCGGAAATGTCCAGCGCCGATACTTTCTAAAGACGAAAACGACTGCGTATCGGAGCCTACGCAGCCGCAGCATGGCCAGCACGTGACGAGAAAGGAGGAACGTCTCAGAGAAGCAGATTGGCATTTGAGAGAAAACCAACTATCCACGGCAGCTCTTTTTTTGTTCTATTCGCGTGCGTGTTTGAAAGGATAAGGGTTACATGGCAGGGACGGGAAAAGGGGAAGCGTAGCACCAGCATGTGAGAGACCCCCCCCCCCCATCAAGGCGCAGAGCCGTGCTCCCGCAAGGGGCTAGGGCTGCAGAAGATAGTGCCTTTTTATTTTCCTTCAACCACACATTCATTCAACCCAGCGACAGCTTTCTTCTTTTTTCCCTCTCTCTCTTCGTGTGCGGCGTTGGAAGAAGGGTCTTTGTGTGGAAGGGACGAGAAAGGGAGAAGCGTGACACGGGCGCGTCGCAGATCGGCGTTTGAGAGAGAGCAAACATTCCATCGCAGCCTTTTCTTTCCTTTTCATTTCCTTCGCACGCAGCGTTGAGGTGTGGCAGGTGCCGCCGCGGGATTGGGCGGGGTGCTGAGAGCATTTTTGGAGCGGGGTATGTTCGAACTAACCGTCACAAGTGCTTGCGCGTTCGAATTACTGGGCGTTTTCGCCCATTGGGATACACATACCTTTGACAGGACCTCATCGTAAGTTCGAATTAACCGGAAGTTCGAATTAGGCGTGTTCAAATGAATAAGATTCGACTGTATCAGTTCTACATTTTTATATGCTTCATTTTTTTTCCAGCTCTGTGTAGCAGGACTTCTATATGAGTTCTTGCTATGAATGCTGTAGCTCTTGCTTTTATTGGCTAGCAATATGTATGCACTCTTTCTGTGCCTTGCTCATGGCAGGTAACAACATTTGTAAATAAACCCATAAATTATAATTGTTTTTAGTGAATCCAAGCTTGCCGAGTTGACAGTGAGGCTTGAAAAAGAGCTACAGGAGGCCAAGACCATTATAGAGCAAAATGTTCACTTCAGAGATGCCGGTAAGTGAATTGAAGTGTTTCTACGTATTTTTGTAAAACACGTGCAGGCTGTAAGCAATGAAACCTTTCTGTTAATTTTCACAGTTTGTGTACACTTGCAGGTGTTTTAAAGGACAAATTTATTGTTCGGTGCCACGTTTTACTCGTATTTATCCCTAAACTGTAGCCCAGTAAATCAAATGATTGTTTCACCAAGATTAGAAGTGTAGTAAGTTATATGTCTACTCGCAGCAGCCGACAGTACGACTAGTCAAACGCAGGTGTGCCATCTTGAGTTTGTATTCGGGGCTGTCTAAATAGTTCTCAGCAGTTGCAAGTCTTTTAAAAGGTGAACACAAAGTGCTGTCGATCTGTTTTCGAGGCTCCTCTGGATGCTTTGTTGGCGGTTGTAGCTTAATGAGCCACGCAGCAGGTTCAGCAGTGGTTGGGTAGTTGTGTTACTGTATGGACTTGTGGGCTCAATCTAACAAGAATCTTTATAGGTGATAATGCTTCCCGCCACGCGATTTTTTGTAGTGCACAAGGTACCTGTCGGCAATATGCAACTGATTTCACTCACCCTGCCTATAATATTGCATTTTTTAACTCTTGGTTAAAAACAGCTTGGTCACCTGGTGTGGACACACATGCACGTGCATACTCATAGACACTGTTGGCTTGGCCTCGGTTCATGACTGTGGCAAAAGTTCATGTTCATTGCTGAAGAACTTGTCAAGAAGAATAGAAAACTTTCTCTTACCATGAATTTCGTTACATATTGTGAGTACCTTGGGCAGAAATTACCAATTTATTATTAAATCCTGTATTTTGTTAACTGCTCACAACACAGCTACAAAACGATTCTCTTCATGAAGCATGACAGCATTTACATTGCCATACGACATAGACCTTGTGTGTACAGAAAGCAGGAATGTCATCACCATAGTTTTTACTTATTATAAAGAAAATTGCATAGAATATTCCCACAGCTTTCACTTCAATACAGGTATTTAAACACCAGGAAAAGTCTAGTTTAATTGCAAATGTGAACTGTACTGCGGGAAAATGTGAGGTGACTGATAGTCAAGGAACAGAAGAAACTAAGACAATCAAGAGCATTCGGTTAATTTAATCTTCTGGAATATTATAAATAAACATGCATTCATGTGTGTGTATATCCATTTCATTAAATTTTATTGTACAACTGCTTCATATTAGAGGTGTAAATATTTGCTCTCGAAATCGGGGAACTGGTACCTTGTCCACAAGGCTCATTTGCTCCTCTAAGGTAGGATTTTATTTGTTCCAGAAGCTGCACTATAATGGTTTCAATGAATCACGTCACTGAAAATTTATAATCGTGAGGCAACCACTGGATTGATTCTAACCACATTTGTCACTCTTGAGAGGCATCATTATAGGAACAGGTCAGGATGGAAATATTAATTTAGGGTTTAGCGTGTTTCACAAAATTGCCTTACAACCATAGATCACTGACAAAGGCAGCAGTTTTAAGTTGAATCTGTTGAAAAAGATAAATTTGATGCGTAAACTTGCAAGTCATGCGAAGTAGTAGCTTCTATTAAATAGTGCAGGTTGAACGATATGGCAACCTAGTCACGGGGCGGTATAGGCAATACATCTTTGTTGCCATTATGAAACCAAACACGAACTGAACGCAACTGGCAAAACATTAGTATAAAGTATGTACATCTGACCCCCAACAGATGGCACTCGTCAATGTCAGGGTTGATTGATCAGGCTAAGTAATACGTTGCTTTTAACAGCCACCGTCAATACACAACAGCCCCCATTTCAAATGAGGAGGCGAGTAGATACGATGATGGCACAAGTGGGTCTTCTGCACTGCAGGTTGGAGGAAAGGTCAACAGCTCTGCGTGAATGCTTGCCTTGATGTGTCAAATTCATGCCAGTGGCCAGAGCAAGTGACCATTGTCGGTATACAGTTAAACCTGCTTATAATGAACCTCCATCTAAAGAATTCCTCGATATGACAAAGTTTTTATTCCCCGCCGTCACTCCATAGAAGCACATGTATTTGCAACCTCTATGTAACAAAGTAACAGTGGGAGACAACTTTGATATAACGAATTTTTTCCACGGACAATTGAGGTATTTCGCTCCGCATTTTGATACGAGCATGTATCTCCCGCGGCGACGGGCACGTGGGCCGCGTCCGGTGGACCTGGACCCTATGAGCCGGCTTTGCCGCCGTACTCGCCGCCGCGCTCACATGCGCGGATGTCCCCGCCACTCCTAACCAACATAAAAAAAAAAAGAACCACTTTTGCGCATTGGCAGTGCCAGGCTTTTAGTTAGCGTCACATATATGAGACCACACTGCATATGGAGGGTGCTTTACTGATTAGTTTTTCGTGGTATCTGTGTCCGTGTGGTTCGCTCTTCGTTTTCGATGCCATGCCCGTGTGGATAGCTTCACTGCGTGTGAATTGTGTGGCCTTCCGACGACGTTCAGTTTTGCTTTTTTTTTTTTATTGTGATAGCAATTATTTATATGGACAGTCTCGGCTGGTTTTTTTGCTTCCGGGGCATCATTCACGTATATGTAAACTCAAATAACGAAACAAAGAAAAGCCGCCCACGCTCAGCGTTCAGCTTGTCACGATGCACCGACGTGCGCTCATCTCCTACGTATACTTGGCCCCGCGAATGGGGGGAGGGGGTTAGATGCTTGTGAGCGCGCCCTTATCCTTCGGTTGGTAGAATTTCGTGCCTTCGTATTTGACCGGGGAATGATTGAGTTTAGTTGCCGCGCACACGAAGATCACTTTGCTCGCTGGACAGGCACCGTTTGCAAAAAGAGTGCGCTTTTCAAACACACCGAAGTAAGAACTGGGGCACTTGTTAGTTCGCACTCGTATCTATCTGTACATGTTATTACGTTTCATGTCTCGTTTTTGTTAAACAGGGCGTTAAGTGTCGAACGGTAAACGTTGTTAGTTCCATCTCATTCTGTGTATGTTGTTTTCTTGCGTCATTTGTGCGTGAGCAGCGCACTGCACGTTTCGATCTGCTTACCGTTCTCAGCGTTACATTCCAAGAACTGTTGTTATCGCATTCATTGCTTCGCCCTTGCAGCACAACTCTGACTTTCTTCCGTGTCTTCACCACCGAGGGGATGTCAGATTAGGCGCTGATGGAAACCACGGTGACAACGGATCTTCGGAGGTCGACTCGTCACGCTCTTTCGTTTTGCGCCGCGCCGCGAGTTCGCAGGCTGGTAGCTTTCGCGATCTGCTGATTAGTTCTGGCAACACGACGGCACGTTGAACGCAATGCAATGAACGCGATAGCGAAAAATTATGATGTTATAAGAAGTAAGACTGGCAGCCAACTATTTTGGATCCCATATCGTGGACCTCCAACAAAACGCTGATGTGAGCAAATATGGCCGCTCCAGGGAAAAGTGCTCTTTTCACACAGTCCCTTCGCGTTGAAACCGCACTGATACTCGCCGAGATAGCAAGCACGCCAGCGATCAGGACCGCCCTTGAAATCGTTCATTATTGCTGCTCGAGCAGCGATTCCCCCCCTCTCCCCGAGTTGTTTCATGCTCGTTAGACGAATGGTTTACCTTCTGTATGAACATTCGACAGCAGTTCTAACACGCGAGAGATGTGATGCAATTTCCAGGCGATAGGGATGGGCGGACTCATTTTATCTCTGCTTTAGCAGTGCCCACATGCTTTTACTCGCTCGTGAAAATTAGGATGCACGGGGGCTTGTTATAAATTTGCACTTGTTACAAAACATGGCGGCAACGGCAAAAACCTGCCGAGAGTGTCCATATAATTGCTATTGCGATATTAATGCGTTTCTTTTTACTGTAACTCTGTCTTCAGTTCCGCTTTTGTTTAATTTGCACTTTTATTTTTCGAATTTTCGTACCAAACCTGCACATAACGAAATCCTCTTCATAATGAATATTTCCAGAAATTTATCAATTTCGTTATGACCAGGCTTAACTGTGATCGGGATTGTGATGAATGCTTTGTGGCAGGTGACGAACGCGCCCCTGGGATGGACGTGCCCGTGACGTGGCATTCGTATGAGAGTAGTGTGCGTTCCCTTCTGTGGCAATTGGCTGAGCTGGTGCCGGAGCTGAGCCAGACCCTGTCTACGTTGCACACGTACGCTGAGCAGCGCGTGCGCCTCCTCCTCACTGGTGCCATCTGTGGACTGGACCCGCAACTAGCGCAGGGCCCGCTACAGGTGGTGAGTCCGCGGCTTTCTTTGAACTTGGATTTCGCTTAGCTTCTTCATTAAGCGGAAACATTAAAGGAGTACTGTAACAACACAAAATCTTAAAGGCGAGGTAACCTGTGGGACATATTTGTGTGGACATATGTGCATAATCTACAAAATATCAATGGGTCATATATCTTGGAACATCAATGCGCAGTCATTTTAAAGTGTGTGCTGCACCACTAAACATATAATGCACCTTTGGTTTTCTTGTAAACAATGAACCTTTATTAAAAAAATATTTGATATTTTGAATATGCACTATTCGCTTCAAGAGCCAAATAGAATAAAACCACATTTTATTTGTTATATGAAAGTTTTGAATATTCGCACACCTCTGGCTTACGCAAGGGGAGTGTGTTTACCGTGTAATTTGTGTACTATATTGAAGTGTTTGTGATTCTGGTAATGCCTAAAGCCTTCACCTTTGCTTTTACGAGCACAGTTTGCCCAGCATCTGCATGGAAATGTGGCGTACCTGCAGCCCATAGAAGAGGCTTACCAGGCCTACTTTGACACCATTTGCCAACGAGAATTGTACATCTTGGTAGGCATCCTTTTTCTCCCTCTTGAAAAGTGTGTTCTGCATTGAGGACCACCGTTAGGATGCAGCCTTTGTCAGTTCGAGTTATCGGAAGTGGGAGGTCATCGCCTGTTGTACTTGGAATGCCCAAGTGTAATGCTGTATGTCCAGTTCGTGCTGTCGAATGTGGCGATGCATCATGACTAAAATGTACTCAGAAATTCTGTTTGCTTAACCTTTCCAGCTAGCCCCGCCGCGGTGGTCTAGTGGCTAAGGTACTCGGCTGCTGACCCGCAGGTCACGGGATTGAATCCCGGCTGGGGTGGCTGCATTTTTGATGGAGGTGAAAATTCTGTAGGCCCGTGTGCTCAGATTTGAGTGCACGTTGAAGAACACCAGGTGGTCGAAATTTCCGTAGTCCTCCACTTCGGCGTCTTTCATTATCATATCGTAGCTTTAAGACAATAAACCCCACATATCATTGACCTTTTCGGCTTGGTCACTATAGTGGCCTGCAGTATTGTAGAATAAAATAAATATTTTTTCTCTGCTTTTAAAGAGCCTTGCATACATTCCTGTAGTCATTGGAATTGTGGTAGTGAAGGGCAACGCAGTGTTCAGACGAATTCTACTGCAATGACATTCGTGCAAAATTTCATACATTAGCGGCACAAAATACTCCTGTAAAACCTGTTAATTTCAAACTGTGTTAATTCCGACTCACTCTTTCATTCTGGCTAGTATATTCATGATTTATTGGCCATTGAGAAACCTGCTAAATTATCCAAACAAGGTCACAACAATGCTTCAATCACAATCTGGTGTCTAGATATTGCTCTTCGCGATCAACAAGGACCACCAAAAGACTGCTGTCGCACACATGTTGCCTTGTTTATCAAATAGGCCCCGAAAAAGTTCCTGTTTATTGTTGTCCTCATGCTGATATCAAACCCTAGTTCATTCTAAAATCTGGAGGCCTGACTGACCTCTTTGTCTCCCTCTCACGCACTCTTTGCAGCTAACACTTGGCTATAAACATCAGACAAACAGTTCTTGGGATGTTTTTTTAAATGAACAATAATGCAGCAGCTCAGGTTGCCCAATACAGACACAACCTTAGGTGAAAGAAAACTCGGTATACCTAGTTTTGCAGCACAAGCACAGGAGACATACATAGACCTGTGCACGACACGGCAAACAAAAAGGCTGTTGCGAGGTGACCTGTCGATCGTACTCATTACATGCGCGCACAGACTGGCCATTTTGCACACAGCAAATGACCACAGACTGGTCATTTTGCACAAAGCAAAAAACACAACATTCACCCAATGTTGCACAACCTTCTTCAAAGGGCCCGGCAGCACTTTTTCAGCTGAGTCAGAAAATGCTGCTTTTTGGTAGTTGAGGCTCCTGAGAACATGTGAGCGGAATGTTATAGTAGTGTGGTATGCAGACTTTAATTTGCAATTAGTTTCTCGTGTCGGCTAGAAATCACTCACTCACATCTGAGAAAACTGTGCCATAAATCCAAATGACCATGCCATAAACATGAAGTCCACAGCCATTGGCTGGCTTAAACATCACGAGCTGCATAGTTGCTGCAGCCGCCGCAGAATGCTGTGACATTCCTGCACTTTCGCCCGCAATCACACTGATAGTGAGCTGTCTTATTGAAAGAAGAAAAGAAAGTGCTCAAGGTCACGATTTGCAATGAAAAATGCCTTCTTGCCCCCTTGTCATCCCTCCTCCTGCATAGCATTCAGTGCACTCGCTGCTACGAAAGAAAAGAGAAAGCACTCAAAGCATGTCACAAATCCCTGTAACTCTGCTCATACTCAACGTATTCTGAAAATTTTGGGGGCATTTGAATTATCAAGCTTAGACATCTTCAATGAAGATATCAGACGATTAAGTGAAGTCTCGTTAATACGTATCTGCCGGGAACGCAGTTTAACTATGCACTGATCGTAGTACGCATTAACCACCAAGTGCAAATTCTCATCTCCTGACATGTGCCATTGTCACCAGCAAAGGAATAAATACACTGGTACAGGAAATATTGCCTACAATGCCCACCACAAAGCTACTTCTCTCTTTTTGCCAAAGTGCAGAAAATATTCTGGAATTCTCGCATGGCATTTTGATAGCATATGTTGATTACGCCAAGGAACATTTCAAAACTACTGTGGGGCTGGGAATCCACAGCGAGTGACAAATTAGCAGCGCTAGCATAATTGCTATTCCGTGGTTTGCATACTAAGCAATTTTTTTAACGCTGTTCAGTCGCAGAGAGCTGATCATTTAATGACTATCTGCTGGCAGCGCTTCATCTATCGACAAATGCCGTCACCTGCTATAGCGGCAGCTTGCTGTAGAATATGTCCACTTCGCTTCAGAACGCACATATGTGGCAAGTAGCATGTTGGGTTAACGTGGCAATGATGAGCTTTCCGCAAGTGATGCGCACTCTGTGATGTTCTAGTGGTCCTGGCAAAGGGCGAAGGCAAATTTTGGGCTGTTGTCACATAAAAGCATGCAGTATGATCACTACAGCACTACGCTTGTTGAGCCGTACGTGTGCATTTAGTGTGATAGTGTCAATACGGAAAGTTTTTTGGTGCCCACGATCCGCAACGCTCAACTTCGCTAACGAGCTGCTTTTGTTTCTGCGAACGTGATGTGTGCATGATTATTGTTCCACATGAAGGTGACAGCAATCGGCAGTCAAACGCACTTAGGTAGTCTCGTATCAAAAGCTTGTGGAAGGCTTAAAGTAGGCCCTGCTAGAATGTTTGCTTTTTCAGGAGCGTCCACCACTGAATCGGAAGTGCTTTGTTAACATGCTCAAAAAGTGTTGCATAACCCCTTTAAAGCTCAGCTCCAATTCTCTAAAAAATCTTCTTTTGAAGAGCTGCAATGTGGTCCTTCAGTAGACCATTAACGAAAACTAGGTACTAATTGTCCACATAACGAAAAACGTGGACACCAATCTTACTCAGCTTGACGCTGATAGGCTGAACCACTTTGTAAAAAAAAAAAAAATGTGTCGCTAAGAATATGTTCAGTCTTGGAGCAAATACAGACTCCTGGTTTCTTCTCTTCTGTTTGTGTTTCTAGCACAGCTGAAATGATTTTAAGGTGTACCGACAAGTGCAGAGCTTTATAGACCGTAGGAGCACGTGCTAAACTGTGTTAGTGCGCCTTCTCATGGTTCTTGGAAGAAATCTAGAGTGTGTACAGTGCAGTTGCATCTTTTTTCTACCTGCGAGTCGTTTGATTGCTTCAACCTCGTGTGTGATGGAATATGAAAAAGAGCATTGTGCCAAAACAGCTAATATCGGGGCAAAAATGTCTCATTTTGTATATAGTAATTGTGAAGCTGTCACGAGGCACAGCAGCATACTTTGATTTCCATAGTTTCTATCATGTTTCATTGGGCTGGGGCTAAATTTCAGTTTAAAAATGATCAATTCAGCTTAGCTAACAAGGTAAATGTGCATTATGAAATAAAACAATAGAAAGGAACGACCTATTTGATAGGCTCTCTTCCTGTTGGCTGTTCTTTTCACACTTTATTTCATAATTCAGCTAGGAACAAGAAAAGGAAAAGATTACCTTTACACGCTTTCAAATTCTGGGCTGAATGCTTTCGTACTCTGGTGCAGGACGGTGGCCCCACGCTATCACCCTTGTCGGCAGCGCTTTGCAGATATGTCTCTTACCTGCATAAGCTTCTGCCCTATGTTGCACTCAGGTCAGTGCCTCTTTTACCCTGTGTTTGGGTGGAAAGTGACCCGTCCCTTTATCTTTAGCTTGCGAGCCGGGGCCAGCTCGCCAACTTCGGAGGTCAAGTGCCACGAGCTGCGAGCAAAGCTTGGGCACGTCGTCAACCGCGTTGTCATCAAATTCGACAAAATGAGCCGGTACCTGCTGTTGCTTTCAACAAAGGGTGAGCCTAAGCTGGATAATAAGTGCATAATCAGTGCCTTTGGAAGGCCTTTATTAATTAAAGTACTCTTAGTGCACATTCATTATGGAGTAGATCAGCTGTGGTTTTTGAAACGGGGTTAAGCACTTCTTGTGCCCTCACTTCGGCTACCCCTTTCACTAATATTGTTCTTTCACAACGTGTTTGCTGGCATACTATTAGTATTGTGAACAAGACTACACAACTAGAATTTCTGCTCCTTTCACTATGGCCACAGTGTTGTTGTAATCACAGAAACATGGTTGCAAAAAAATATATCTGATGACTGCATTATTCCTCCTGGCTATGAAATGTTTAGTAAAGACAGGGATACGTGGTGGGGGCGTTGCTATTGTAGTAAAAGGTACCGTGTCGGCTGTGATGATTGATTGCGATGTTCCTGAATCAGTGTGGTGCAGGATTTCTTACTATGGTGTTATTTACGTTATCGGAGCAGTGTATCGCACAGCCTCTGCCTCACCTGAGTTCCTGGAAAAAATTAGCGACTTTTTGTGTGCCAATGTCAAAGTGGACACCAGAATAATAATGACCGGCAATTTTAACCTTCTCTACGTAGATTGGAAAAACTCATGTTCTCTTGGAATCAATTTGTCGGGAGTGGAAAAGTTATTTGAAGTGATGTTCACGCATAACCTAAACCAAATCGTGCAAGAAAACACAAGATTCAACGACAACAATGGGGTCATTGTTGGATCTGGTGTTTTTGTCAGATAAAATAAGTGCATATACGTACTGTTAATGTTGAAGACGGTATTTCTGACCACAACATGATTGTTGTTACGGTTACAGTAGGAGCCTGTAATTGTTCCAGGCCCTACATTCCTGTACGCATTAAGAATTATGCTCGCGCTGATGATGTTTCCATTCAAGATTACCTGGAGGCTGCGCTTGATGACTTTGTAACTGATTTTGATGCTAAAACAGTAGAAGAGTTGTGGAAGCACTCCAGGTTAGTTATACAGCACTTTGTGGACAGCTATATCCCAACGCGCATAAAAAAGACTAAGCACCGGAGCCCCTGGATAACCAGGGATATAATTTTCAAAAAAAAAAGAAAAATGAAAAGGCTGCGGAAACAGACAAATAAGTGTGCCCAGGTTTCTCGACTTCGAGCAGAGTTAAAGCAAGCACTGAGCCAGTTATAAAAAAAAGGTTTTTTGGTGACACACTTAGCCGCTTCCTTAGAACGACACCGCAAAGGTTTTGGCGATACTTCAGTGACAGGAAGGAAGAGATACAAGAAATTAGAAAAGATAATGAAGTACTGATAAACAAAAAAGATATTGCAGATCATTTCAATCACTTCTTTCAGTCCGTATTCACCACGACTGATACTGTCGTGGACGTAAGTTCGGAATGCACTGCTCATAGCCAAATGGATGACGTCAGTATCACCCAGGAGGGCGTATTTGAGCTGCTATTAAATTTAGATTCAAAGAAAGCGAATGGACCAGATGAGATCCCAACCCAGTTTCTTCAAAGATATGCTGAAATGCTGAATGGGTGTCTCATTACCTAACACTTATATTTGAAAAATCATTGAAAACACATTCTGTGCCACAAGACTGGCGCAGTGCAGGTAGTCATTCCAGTGTTTAAGGGAGGAATCCGAACGACAGTAAATAATTACTGGCCTATATCACTCACATCTATCTCTTGTAAACATTTAGAACACATAATAGCTAAGCATATAATTTGTTACCTTGAAAATAACTCTTTACCTTACCCCCACCAGCATGGATTCAGATCAGGCTTCTCCGCTATCACACAACTCATACAGATGATTCACGATTTCCCTAAGGCAATTGATACTAGGGAGCAGGTTGATGTAATAGCCATAGATTTTGCCAAAGCCTTCGATAAGATGCAACACAATAAGCTAATTTACAAGATGGAAACAGTTGGACTTAATTTCACTGTTATAAAGTGGATTAAGGCATACCTAACTGATCGCAAGCAGCAGGTGAAATTGGATGGGCATGTCTCTGACTCGCTGTCAGTGCTTTCGGGAGTCCCACAGGGATCTGTTCTGGGACCATTCTTGTTTTTGGTGTATATTAATGACATCTCTGCTCTTATGGAGCCAGGTGTGCACCTTAAACTATTCGCAGATGACTGTTTACTTTATTACACTGTACGAAACAAAGAGGATCAAGTTAAAATTAACATGTTTACAGGCCTTGAGCAAATGGTGTGAAAAATGGAATATGAAAATTAATTACTCTAAGTCAACATATACACATATTACAACAAAGAAGAGCCGTCTTTTATTTTCATACACCATCGGAGACAAGTGTTTGATAAATACTACTCAATTTAAATATTTATGATTAACGATCACGGAAAATTTATCTTGGAACATACCCATTAACAGTGTTTGTTCAAAGGCATATGGGAGGTTATGTTTTCTACGAAAAAAACTAGAAGGTGCAACAGCCAATGTGAAACTTTCTGCTTATTAAACCTTTATAAGTCTTGTTCTTGAGTACGCCTCGGTGGTATGGAGCCCTCATCAATATTATTTAAAGAAACAAATAGAAAAAATTCAAATGTATGCGGTGCGATTTATATGCTCCCGGTATCGAAGGACGGAGTCAGTTACAGAAATGCCCCAATCTTCTGGCCTCCATTTGTTAGAAACGTACAGACAGAAAAATCGTCTGAAACTATTATTTCAAATTCTAAATGGCCAAATATTAGCAAGGAAGTATTCTTACTGCCACTAGGTAAAAAGAGCTCAAGAAGCAACCACAACAGGGCCGTTCAAACGTACAGGACTCGTACGGATAGATTCAAATACTCCTTTTTTCCTAATACAATTGAAATGTGGAATGAATTGCCGGTGAGTATTGTTGACCAGAACGATTTGTCGAAATTTGAACAGACCTTGGATGATTATCTGTACAATTGTAGCGTTTGATCTTGATCCATCCTGTATTTGTGTATTTGCTAATAATGTTCTTTTTGCTATAATGTTTTGTTATGTTACCCTCTCTGTGAGGACTCTCGCATGAGAGTTGACAGTATTACCAAATCAAATAAAATAAAAAAATACTCGAGGGTAATTGTGGCCTTTTTATGTCATGCAGGTTGTGAGCCTGGTTCGAATACATGTCGTTGTGCTGGGTATCTGGCTGTTGTTGGAAAGCTGGTTGGCATCACCAAATGCTTATGGGACGATTTTGAAGGTGAGAGCGTCGCATGTTTTTCTTTTTCTTAACTATTTCCCTACCATTAGCTAGTATAGTTGTCATGAAATTTTGTAATGAAATGACCCATAGCAACTACATATACTTGTCATCACTAAAGAAAAATTGGTCCGACACAAAACCAGTGACAACTATGCTCGTCATACGTGTGTTTCTTGATGCTGGATGGCCACACTTGTCCGTTTTGGGCCATTTGTGCCTCGCCTTTCATTTTATTGCCATCTTTATTGTATTGCCATGCAGTGAAGCCACCTTTGTTATTTTTTTTATGTGAATAATGGTATAATGAAGCAACCCCATCGAATTGAAAGAATGTTGCTATTTATTCAGAAAAAAAAAATACTACAAGTTGAGTAATCCTGGCACATTTTCTTTTCCTAGGTATAGGAGATTTATGTGCAAGTGTAAACTTTAAAAAATTCTGTCAGTACTCCTTTAACAGTAGGTGAATAGCACATTGCTTAACTACAGATGGCCTGTTTTACAGTCTGAAAAGATTCTGTCTGTCACAGTTATAGGTGACCATTTTTGTCTGATTCTATGTTTAAGTTTTTCTCCACACAGTAATTCATCTAGGGTCAACTGGTTTCATAAATCTCAGTTTGAATATGCAATAAATTGATACTAGCAGTGCAGTCTGAAATACAATATGAGCACTGTTCAGATTCAAACCTCTTGATACAGTGTGGCATACTTAAAATTGCTGCCAAGCACACTTTTTAAATACAACCATTTATGAACTTTGATTGGCCCAGGCCTCTCTGATTGTCTTAAGATAACTGATATTATGAAATTTTACTAGATGGTCAAGTTTGACATCTGCCAGGATAGCACCCCCAGTCGTTAGGCTCAAATGCTAGGCCTAAATGTGTGAATGTCCACAGTTCCATACAAAAAAAACAGAACTTGGTGGCTTTTCTAATGTATAACATAACAATGGGCAAAAACTACACAAGCATAAAGTGCATAATATTGCATGAAAAGAGCAATCTTATTATCTTTTTACCTAGGAGGTGGCCGTTACTAGTGTTTTATGGTTGGCACTTTAAAGTAATAGTGTGTATAACGCCACAGCTTCAGAATTCAATGCTTGTTTTTCGTATTTACATTGTCCCTGTTTCAAGGGGTAGGGCTGTTTTAATAGTTCTAGGTCCTCACGAATGCTGACTTGTCATGGCAAGTGTACGTGCAGAATCACTGTGGGCTGTGCACTTGCACAGCCCCTACTTGCGCACAATGCACCCTTGCACAGAATGCATCTCTACCTTGCAGAGGTCAAGAGGCAGTTAAGTTCTCTCATGCTTTTTGAGCATGAGCTACCCACTGTGTCCCTGGAGGCCAAGAACACAGACGACTGTCTGGTCAGCAGCCTAGCATCTGTCGCTAACAGTTGTAAAAAGGCAAGTGCTGCCTCTGTTGTGCGGTGCACACTATAGCCAATGGCAAATTTCATTAGCAGATTCGGAGTGGCTGATGAAATTTGTGCCGGAGCACTCTGCTCCAGCAAAGAGTAACCAAAAAATATCTACCAATAGAAGACAGGGGCTCCCACTAGCGCAAATGGCACGGGGTGCTAGCACACGTCTGCCTTCAGAAGCAGCCAGAATTTCTTGAGCTTGGTGCCATTTTCGCATTTGTGGGCATAGGCATACTTGGGCACTGCCTTTTATCAGTCCACGCTCTGCGCATGCACACGGCACTGGTGACTTTTGATTGAATTCGCTGCTTTTTGCATGGCAGGGAAAGCTGCTCTGCGGAGTAAATCTGGCGGCGGAACTGCTCCTGACCTGCCAATGAAACACATAGTGAGCACTCCCGATCTGCCAATGAAACAGGCTTGCTCTGCATGGAACAGGACGACAGCTAACAGAAGTGCACCGAATCTGCCAATGGAATTCACCATGAGATTGGGTCATTCGCAGCTGTCACGAGCACTCGAGGCCAAGGTGTTGCTCTCCAAGGAGGCGTACCAGTGCAGGGGCTTCTCTTCCCACACGAAGCCACCACTGTGCAAAGCACACCTGGGGCCACATGCAGCACTTCTCAGGCAGAGGGGCGCAGCCTACCTCAGAACATGTCAGCTGGTGAGTTTCTGTTGCGGCTGTGAAAACAGTTTTCACAACACTGCTCTTTATCAGGTAGTGCATGTCATAGAGTCTCTTAAAGCTAACCAGAGGGGGACTCTGATGCTGCGATCGGCCAGTGACCATAGTAATGATGGGTAGTACACGGATTTGCCTAGTCTTCGTGCTTGCGGGCTTCAAACTTACTTGACTTGTAGCTTTGTTTGTTGCTGTGTTTTGATTTTGTTTAGAATTTAAAAAAATGGTCCGTTCTGAGCTTTGTTACTCGATTTGAAATGCTGAACCTAGATGTTCAAGGTGGTCAAGTGCAACTGCTGAACATTTGCCAATTGTTGTTTCGTGACAAAGCAGTTCTAAGCCACATGAAGCCAAATGGAGCCGACAGTACTATGTTTAGACAAAGCAGTGCACTCATGTTCGCTGAAGAGGTGTGCGCTGCAGCTCCAATAGACAATAGCGCCAAAGTTCCCTGTTGTGTATTTATAGGAAACTATGGTGCGTGCCGCAGTGCAAGACCAAAGTGTCCTCTTTGCTTTCATCTGTACATACTTTGTGTGAGCCCTCTTGCCAGACATTTTGCTTCATCATATTTTCTCAAATGAGTTCAATCCACAGAATGCACCTTGAGGCAGGATAGGGATGTACTCCAATGCGTGAAATGTTTTGCCTTTCAGTACACGAAAAGCCCTGAATGTGTTCCTTATGGCATTGCAATTGAGAATTCTGGAGCCCTCCAGAGCCATGTGGAAAATAAGGAGTCCTTTGCCCAGCAGGTATTTATGATTCCCTACAACAGTGTTTGCAAAATGTCCAAAGTACTCTCTAACTCATCATCGGAGATGAGTGGAGAAAGCTAAATTCGTATAAGGCACTGGAAAACTGATTGAATGGTTGCATACCTTAACTACACAAAAAGGAGATTCTTTTTAACTGAAACCTGGAGAGCCAAGATAACATTAAAAGTGTGCGAAATTGTCTTGTTGCTGAAGACACAAGTTTGATCAACAAGGTAAAAATATGCCAGGGAAGTTAGCATGAACAATAGCATCATGATCACGCAAAATCGTTTACTAAAGTGAAGTCTCATGGTCCCTTATGCATTTGCCCAAGACTGATCGAAGACAAAAGCCATCTTCTGAGTCGATTGTACTATCCCTTTCTCAAGTTGAATTCAGGCACGCATTGGAATCCTGAAAAATGCGACAGTGAAACTTCAGATTGGGCAGAAACATCGCGTATGACATCATTGGCAGAGCGACACATTGCTGTCAAAATGTGATTGATGTGATAAATAATCAACAGGGCATTTAACGATTTGTGACCGTGCCAGTTTTCACTATTGTTTGTTAAGGATGACTTCAAGTTCAAATTTCGGCACTCTATGAGTGCTTATGAACGCCTAACATCATCCAAAGGTTCAAAAGAACATGCGTTTTATCAGTTTCATCTGTTAAATCCTTTTTTATACTGCATAAAAATTTTTTAAGCTCTATCCCAGTCAGGACTATGAGCGGTAATGGTTGTGATTATGGCGTCAATGTGGCTCGCGGGTCCTTCACTAAAATGTTGTATTTGAACAGATCCTGGCGAATCTGAGCGTTAGTCTGCTGTATTACTTTCTATTGCCGTAACTGCCATAACTATTTTCTATTGCACTGCTCTTTGTCATTTGTTTTATGAATTCTGTGCATGTATTTGTATTTTGTGAACGTCACTGAAATGCACTTTTTGTACTGCCCCCCTTACACTATGGCTCAACAGAGACCTGTAAGGTACTTTTGAATAAAAAAAAGTCTCTAGATGATGGTAGCAGGACAGACACAGAAGACAACAATGATTCCTGCAGTAAATTTTGTTGCCTTTTCGGGCTGTTTTATCAGTGCTGCGCATCAACGTAAATGTATCCAGTGCATACTAAGGCCACAGCTTTTATCTGTAAGGTGTCAACTTGGTTCAGGTTTAGTGCTCGCTGCAGAAAAAGTGGAGTTCTGTCCATGTACATTTTGTGAAGTAGACGTTGACTCAGTGCTCCACAGTGCTGCGCAGAGGGTTCATGTTTTTTTTCACAGCAAAATTTTTCTGAGATATACACAACCACACAAATAAATATGTGTGGATATATTTTCTTAAAGGGCCACTCACCACCCCATGTTTAAAGACGAGGGGGAGATTTTCTTCTCTCCTTCATACACACGATGCATTCTCCTCGCTCCTTAGTCCTTGAATGCACATGAAAAATATCAGCACTAAGTGCTAGAGCCTATCAGGATTTCGCGCTTTTCGGCTGCACGCTGTTATCGCCGCTTGCGAAGTTGTAAACAAAAAAAATCAAGTTTGATTGGTTGATTGTGTACGATATTCATGCGAGACAAAGAAGAACGGATAGGCAGCTGCATGGGAAAGCAGTGCTGGAGACAAATCACATGTGATACTTCGCGTACATCAACCAATCGAGAGCATGTACACTGTAGACGTCACTGGAACTACTGTCTACGTCACAGTAGTGTGCCAAGGACGAGTAATATCAGGAAAAAATATTGCGCTCTTTTTTTGTATTTTGGGAGCCTGGTGAGTGTCCCTTTAGAGCCAATGCACTGGAAGCCAACCTTTTTCTTTTCCACATCAAGAAAACTGCCTCGTGGATTGGCATGATAGGCACTAGTGATATTTTTGTTTGTAAGTAAATAACTTTTCATTAAAAGCACTATTTTTTTATAAGGACTTCGTGTTCAAGACATGTATTTCGATTATATTTAGAATTTTTGATGGATCTCTTCAAAATACTTTTTGTGATAATATTTGAAATAACTTTGTTGGTTGAAATTAATACTGCTGCAAAGACTAGTTCTTTTTCTGTAATTTTGATACTCTATCTTTTAGCATTAATCAATTTCTGGAGAAGGAAAAAATAAAGTTTTCCAGGCTACCCCAAAACAACTAATTTTTCCATGGTCACAAAATTGTCAGCAAAACAAAATATACTGTGACTGTGGACTGACCTTAGGAAAGTGTTGTCGTTTTTGTACATTGGCCCACCACGGTGGTCTATTGACTAAGGCACTTCGCTGCTGACCCCCAGGTCGCGGTATCAAATCCTGTAGCATCAAGTCGTTGCATGCATGCAACAGGAATAAAGTGTTTAAGGTCATGCATAATGTAAGGTATTCCATCTACCACTCATTGATAATTCTCACTTACGTAGATCACTCAATTGTCTACACAGTATATTCAATTGCATTAAACTAAGTTATAGTTATAATAATAGCATGCTCACTTTAATATAGTTGAACTTGTAGCTGGCATTAGCAGTAAAACATCTTACAGAAACTAAATTAGCTCACCACTGTGGTCTAGTAGTTATGGTGCTTAGCTGCTGACTCGCAAGTTGCGTGATCGAATCCTGGCCGTGGCGGCCGCATTTTCGGTGAAGGCAAAAGTGCCAGAGGTCCGTGTACTTAGATTTAGGTGCACATTGAAGAACCCCAAGTGGCAGTAATTTCCAGATCCCTCCACTGCAGAGTCCCCCACAATAATGTCATCGTTTTAGGGTGTTAAACCCCATAAATCATCAATGTGATCTTGCAGAAATCAAACATGAACTGCATATGAGATTATTGGTGACATGACTATTGTTTAGTATTCCACAAGTGAGTGGTGAAACAGCAGCAAATTTGTTAGTGCTAACTAATGGTGGGCCATTGCAGAAGCTTGTACCATTTTTGTTGTACTTTATGGCAAAGAATTCTGGAGAGGACAGCAGGTATAGGTGCAGATATGAGCTGCTGCTTTTAATAGCAGAGCGTCTTGAAGAGAAACAATGCCACCCTTCTTGATAGAGTTTGGTTGCCTTTTCACAGAGTTTTTTTTTTGTACATTTCTCATCGCTGTTATAGCTTGAAAGCCTGAAGAACAAAGTTTGGAAGCTTGAGGAGGTGAGTCGTTGCTTTAAACTTGGTTGTTGCCAGTTACCTTAACTGACGTCTTATTCCTGAATTTAGGAGAAGGAGCACTGGATGCTGGAATGGCAGCTGTTGCAAGCCAAGTACGAGAGGCAAGCCAAGGTAAGACGATCGCTGCAGTGGTTGCATGCTATTGAAGTGAACTTTCGAAGTTGGGTATTGTCATACTCGTCAAAATATTGGCTCCAAGGACAGTCAACATCCAGCGAGCCTTTATTGAAAGTAACAGCGTGAGGCCTGCTTTTTTCTGGAATATAACAATCAACTTGTCCAGCTTGCTATAGAGAACTCCTCTTGTTTCAGACCCTGGTTATCGCATTTCCTGTTTTATGCAGAATAACCTGCAATTAACGCTTGTAGGCTCATTTGAAGAAATATATATTTTTTTTCAGCTCAGAACTGAACAGGGACACAAGAACACAATCAATGGGGCGTGTGATAACTTTCAACTAGCTTATTTCTTACTTCTAGACACGTGATTAAAGTGTGCATGCGTAATAGTTCAATAAAAACCAATCTTTTTACCTTGAAAGATTAAGGACAATGTGCTAATATGCAGGGTGTGTCTCGCTCTCCCTATAAACATTGCTTCGTTGACCTTCAGATAGACCTTAGACCTTGCGATGTGTTGACACTGTTGTCGAAATCATTCTTAACATTTAGTCTCCATAATAATAGCACTTGCCCGTCTGCCCTGTGTCCCACAACGTTGCGGGGTGAGATGAAAGGCAGCTCTACACTGGTGGTGCCAAGCCTGAAAACTGCCTTGCTTGTACACATCTCTTCCTTTTTTACGTTTCTCTTACTCCCCATATTTTTCATTTCGTCTTTTTTATTTTGTTCATGAGTACTATGCCTAGTGGTCGACTAGTGCCTATGGTCAGCTAGTGCCTAGTGGTCTATTCCTAGTGGTTGATCAGTATGAATCAATGAAATCTAGTGTAAGTTGAACATTGGAGCACGTCAAAGGGCTAGTGCTGATTCTAAAATGTATGCTTGCAAGCATGTATTTCAGTAAAAATAAAATGCCATGCTGTAATGAAATGTGGAAAGACATGCCATAAGAAAGCAGGCAATAAGTGGCTGGCTATGTTGCTAGGCATATTGGGTAACCAACTGTAGGATGCCACGCAATAAGTCTGCGCTCAGAATTGGCAAACTTATCTGCCAGTAATCACACATGAATGATTAGCAATAGCTCTTTCGCTCGAGTTCCTGCATTAGCGTTAGCATTTGATGGTAAGATGTAAGTGTCTATGTATTTTGTCGTACAGTTGTGGACCCGACATCTCTTACTGCAAATTATATGCACTTCATGTTTCTTACTTTCAGGACGTGTTGCCGGTGTCTGGGCTAAGCCAAGGTGAAGGTCGGTCTAATCACCCTTTGCAAGATAGGTTCTTCTTAGACAGAATCTATGCGTTTTGCAGGTGATGGTCACGACGGCCAGCTGATAGTGGATCACTTCAAGGCACGCATCAAGGAGATGATCCGACAGAACCAACTGGCCGATAGCAAGGCTGTCTATTACTACTCAGAGGTAAGTTCCTTTTTTTTGCTACCCACAATGAGATAAAATACATACTCTCGATTTACTTGTGCTCCGACTTTCTCCAAACCTGGCAAATGCTCCAAAGTTATTTTAGTATACTTATGCTCTACGTAACTCTTCAAAAGCGGTGTGTAGCAGAGTGTGTAAGTATGGGATGAAAGAGTAGAAACTCTGCATGCCTTCCCTGAGCTTGGGCCCTCTGATATACGTGATCTTGAACCAAAACAAACTCCCCGAGCTTGGCCTTTACAAAGCAGTTTTTTTATGCTTCTGTGTCATTCTGCTTTCTATTGCAAAGGTTACCAAAACAGGGTAATATTAAGAAAGTATTTTAAAATGTAATGTTCAATGACGTTTTCTGAAGTACCACTATCATAAATTTGTGTGACATAATGAGCATGCTTCAAGAAAAAGCAGTGCTTAGATAGCTTTTAAACCATCCAAAGGTTGAATTTTAATTGTAGTGTTGTACCTGTGTGCGAGTCTACAACCAATATGTATACTGGTTGGTTGGTTGCAAAACTTTATTGGTTGGTTGCAAAACTTTATTGTACCAACACGTATACGAGGGAATTTTTTGGAGTGATGCTGTTGTCCTCCTGAGACCCGGCTGTGAGAAAGTTGTCCAATATGTTGGATATTGCAACACAGTGCGCCACAGCTTTCAAAGCGCTTGCTTGCTCTTGCAAAATATTTAATCGGCTGCTTGTGGGACCTGTGCTGCCATGTAGTGATCATGGTAAAAGTTGGTGCAATTCCTGCTTTTCAGAATCATTTGAAATGGCGAGATTGAGTATGAATGACTTTTCTGCTGTTGCATAAGAAGCAAGTGAACTTAAATTCATTCTTGAATGTCATAAAAGATATTTAAGCATTGTGATGGGTTCATATGAAGTTGAAGCATACAAATCAATTCATATATGAGCAAGACATGTGGTGGTATTTTTGCAGGCATTGCGAATTTGACTATGTCCAATATATTGGACATAGGGCCGCATTGACTACAAATACACAACCCTTCGCTTGTGCGCTCTTTTGGGGCTGTACCGATAGTGATATGTTTTTCGCTGCAGTTTTCTCCTTATTACATCTAAAATTCATGTATTTTCCTTTGTAGGTAATAGGCCCCGCGTGAGCCATGTGAGTAATGTCCACGGCTGAGAAAAAATGCATGGCGCTTAATCTTTGCCTATACAAATTCGAATGCGATTGGGATATCCTGTCCCCACTTCATTCTCTGAAATAGGTAGCATGATTTAAAGCAGCGAGTAATTATGAGCGTAAAATGATTTCGTGCTATGCACCCTCCACGTGGTATTAATTAATAAGGGAATACGTGCGGCAAGTGTGTGCCTTTTCTAGTGGGTGGCCGGCAGGAATGGATTCTTCAGAGTTCAAAGGGTTAAAATTAACCAAGCCCTCCAGTTTTTAGGGGCCCCTCAAGGCTCAGAAAATATGGCCACCTTCATTGTTTTGCTCAAAAAGTTTAACTTTTCTGGATTATCTATTTATATCTATTTCAATAATCAGTGCACATGCTTCAAAGAGGTTTTTCGTTGCACAACGTGTATAATATTGTAGTCGGCTGACAGTTCCGCAGTTTGCAGTAAACTTTGTACTTGCCCGAGACCATGCATTGTGTAGAGGGAAGGAGCTGATCCTGCGGATGGACACATACAGCCTGATGAGGATTTTAGCAGCTCCGGTTCAACATGCAATGCGAAGACGCATGAAGAGTGGTTCTTGTTTGAAATATCGTTCAATGCGCTGAATGAAAATATCTGGTATGAAGCTGACGCATAGGTACACTAAAGTATGCTTTCATTATAGTGTAAACAGCACATCATGAAATATTTGTATGGTCCGGAAGGACTCCAAAGGAATAATGGTTTGATTCTTCACTTGTGGCATTATCGTTCTGTATTAATTCCTGCTTGGTAGTAATATAGGGAAACTTAAGAGACCATCACTTGGTAAAAGTAGTGCATAGAAACTATCTACAATATATATCCAATATCTGGCCGCCAGATTGTGGAATACCCCCTTCCTATATTGAAAATATTTTAATTTTGAACCATCTGTACTATGTGTTGTGATCAGTAAGCATATACCAATCTGGATAATAGCACTATATCGAAATTCTGCCTTACAAGAGCTTATGTGTGCTGTTATATGAAATCAAAAGTATCTACACGATTGGAAGCGTATTTACTGTAAGTACAGGAAACAGTTTCTGAAGTAGGCCCACCTGTCAATTTCAGCAGTGCTCGCGCGCAAGCAACCAAAGCGTGTGCTACCGAATCAGTGAAGCTGAAGCAGATAGAGGGAGCTACTTTTCACAAAGGCGCTCCCTGGTTTTTGAAAGATGTCCTCTTTTGAAATAAGGGTAAACAACGCTATAGGTTAAAAAGCCCCTAAACCACGCAGCGGTCGAAATTATTAAATGTCTTAACTAAATGTCTTAACTGCAGCAGTTGAGGTGAGGAAGTTTTGCTCGAGTTTACAATGAACACGTAGCGGTGGAAATTTTTCGACACGGCGCCGTAATAGCGGAGTTAAACGTATTTGATGATCGAAACGAGACGATCACTTCTTTCCCTCTTTCCTACGCTAACCTCTTCCAAAACCGCTTGGCCCCTGCTCGCTGAGTCAGCTGAGTGCTCCTCCTCATCTCGCATGGCATAAGTCACCGCTGACATGCTGTTTGAGACAGCGTCTACTTCCGGTTGCCGCGATCCGCCACTCCGACGCCCTAGCTCGCCGTCAACTGTGTTGTGTGTGTCATCTGGGTTCACCGATCGTTGACTAACCGCCGTTGCTGTCGTGCTGGCCCGTGCCCCTACGCTAGCGACTTGTCGGTTGCGTTACAGGCCGCAAATGTCAATTCGCAAGTGGCAACATGACCAAGAACAGCAAGGTGCGCGCGAACAGCTGTTTGCAGAGTGACCGGGAGTTGTCTATTGTCGCTTGGCCAATCACAAACATCTAAATTGGTTACATAATTGAGTTTCACTGGTGATGTCACACAAGTCAGTTGCAAGAATGGTGGGTACCGGAAAGGAGAGGCAATTTTTTTTTTCAATTGTGGCGCGCCCGCTGCCCGTAGCGCTGCGGCGTGGGGCATCGTTGATCGCGACGGCATTCTGCACGCGATGCGCTTGTTTACTTGAAATGTTTGGGAAAATGTCGGAGGGGGTTTAGGGGCCCTTCAAGACAAATGGAAAAAACGCACACCGTGCTTGGACTGCTCTTCTAAATGTCTTAACTACTCGCACAGTTTAGTCTTCTTTCAGTATGATCCTTCTTTTTTTCAGACGAATGGAAAAAACTGCACACGATGCTTGGAATGCACTTCTAAATGACTTAACTACTAGCACAGTTTAGTCTTCTTTCAGTATGATCCTTCTTTTTGTCTTAACTTCTCGCAGTTTAGTCTTCTTTCAGTATGATCCAACAAACCAGACAAATCTTAATGCTGTCCATGTGTCTTCGTCTCCTGACAGGATTAATTACTACGATCACAATCTCTCCACGTGTGCCACAGAAAAGAAAATGCCCAGGTGATATTAAACAGTCCAGAAAGGCTTAGAGTAAAGGTGACTCGTGTTCTTAGCAGCTAAACCTGAAAAGCATCAAGTCTAAAGCATGACCAGATGAACCGGGCCCTTCGCACTGTTAACCCGGCCCTGGTGGCCAGCTTAAAACCAGGAGGTTGTAATAATCACTTGTTGTTGTTCTAATGCCCGATGGCAATGTGCGCTTGTACTATGCAATATTACTGCAATATTACATACTGTATTGTGAAGTCTGTATACAGGAGGCATGTGTTTGTATAGCATGCACCTTATTTTCACAGCATTTCTAAGCGCAGAAAGTTTTTTTTTCACTGTGTATCCAGACGCTTGGTCGTTTTTGTTTTTTCGTATAGGTAGAACATCTGCTTGCTACATAAACGGCCGAGATTCGCTCTTCACTCGGACACGGAAATGTTATTCTTTATTTCATTTACATCTTTCTCGTTTTGTAGGCCACAGACAGCATGATTTTTTGCTAATCAATCAGCTATGCTGATGCCGGAATTTCCGTGTAATGATCTGTTTAATGCTAATATCGCTAATAATAAATATATTCTTTATTTGGAAACAGGAAATAATAACGTATTAGTCCTGCAAGATGTCTTTTTCGGTCACTGGCCTCAACTACGCTCCACTCTCTGTTCCTCAAAAATGTCACCCTAGAGTCCTAATGTCCAATGTATTGGAGAATGTGGTGCGGCCAAATGACATCATGTATTGAAAGAGTGTGTGACACTTTTCATCTTTGCACTCGGAAAAAGCAGTTGTGAAAGTTTGAGAAAGGCCGACCCTAAATTCACTTTGGGTCTCAGGAGGTTATGGTGGTGTTGCACTTTGATGGTTCAAAAAAGGCTCTCACTTTTCTCTGCTCTTGGCAAAGTGCTGGCGCACAGGGAAACAGGTTGTTTTGTGAAGGATGCAGCAGCAGCAGCAACAGCAGCAAATACAGCAGCTGAACCTTTGCTGTATTTCGCAATAAAGTGAATGCAGGCCACACTGAGTCACTTGGAGCAAAAAAAAAAACAAACTAAGTTTAGACAAATCCGTGCGTGACCCATCATACTCATACTGGCTGAAGCGCCCAGAATTGCAGCTCTCATAGACACAAGGGCCAGAGTTCCTCTAGTGCATTATTGGAAACTTTTGGGAACTGCAAAGATTTAATTCATCATCAGCTTTCATCCTCATAGTTATCAACACCTTTGCTTTATTTTCTTTACCACGCCCTTCCCTTACATCATGCGGAGTAGCAAGCCACAAAATTGATTCAGGCCGACCTGACCTCTCAGTTTTTCTCTCGTAATAAACATTTCTCTCTATGGTGGAGGCATCTTTCAGCTGTAATGGCTAGATTGAGACTCTGTCAATTTCTTTCGTGCAGTGCAAGGCTCTCCAGAAGAGGCTACACTTGGCTGAGGAGCAGCAACTGGAGCTTGAGAGGCAGCTCCAAGACAAGCAGCTGGCGCTGCAGCAGCTCAGGGTGAGTGGCGCCACTCTTATTGGCTGGCTGCTCCGCCAATAAGCACTTACCGTGGCTGTCGCCATCTGGTGTAGAGCACTCTCCAGGGCACTCAGATGAGGTGATGACTCACCTCAGGCATGAATTCGGGAGAAATGGAATTTATTAAATTAACTCATTCGTTGTCACAGCTATTTTAATCGATCGTTGGGGATCGACGCTTTGTATCATCGATTTCGGCATTGTGAATACGTTTCTCATGCACCCAGCACTTTTCTGTAGTTAGCCCAGCCACTCAATTTTAAGAATCAATTTGAATTTGCAAATTTTTCCAACATAGTAAGTTTTGACAGACCTTTCCTCAAACTAATGTACGTGTGTGTTGTGCGGAGAATACACTTTGCTGGGGAACTTGACAGAAGTCCGCGTCCGTCGGGGTTACGCTACAGTAACATCAAAGTTCTGTTATAAAAAGAACATTTGCAAGTGAAATATCAAATTATGGTGTCAGCTTCGCAATATAACACTGTTCAGAAGTGATAATTGCCCGAAATTTATGCCTGTTATTCAATAGAGAGCTGTTGCTAGGAGTGGGAAAATTTTTTTCGACAAAAAATATTTCCAGTGGTCCGCCGCATGTATAAAGTGTGGAGGTGGCCTCCTCGGTTAGTTTCCAGCAGCTTTGCTGGTATTGGTATAATAGGCAGCAACTGGTGTCGCTAGTCCCTCCTATGGTGCCGGCATCACGCGCACATTAGTGTGCACCTGCGCTGCAAAAAACACGCGTCGCTCAAAACTGTCTTGCAACAGCACCTTAATTGAGTTAAGACAAGCTTAGAGTGCAAGGATGACAGCACCTCAGCTTCAAGTTTGATGGCAACAATGTTTTGCGTCATCCTGAGACATCCGTAGTCGTTCATGGGTTTGTTTTGTTTATGGCTTTGTTTATGGTCTCCTCCACCGCAAGTATGTAGCTGCTGACGTTTGTGCACAATCTTATAGCTACTGTAGTTACGTGCGAGGTTCACTCGTCGCTGGGGCGTGATGTGCTGACGCCGGCTGTAGAGACGTTTTTCACGACAAGGAGGCCACAGGAGGACATCTTGGCCCTGACTAAAAAGCAGCGCAAAACGTTTTAGAACTGCGAGCGATATATGAAATAGAATGGAATGAAAAAACTTTATTTGCGAGCGATATATCTTTTTTTAAATACGATGAGCGAAAATGCAAAGAAATATGCATGCATGTACATATTGAAAAGGCAACCAATGCGGGGCGCGATGGCGCATGTAGAGAGTTGACACTAAACGAAATAGTGAAGTTCATTGGACATCTGATTTATGGAGGGATTATTCACATCACGGATATCCATTCTATATTAAAACTCCTTCAGGCTTTTAAAGCAAAAATATAAAAATACTGAGAAAAGCATACGAGTTAACTTGTCTTACAAAAAAAAACAAAGCAATGCTTCACTGCATGACATGAGCAATGACGCAGCACCTTGGTTCCGATTTTCTTTGTCTATAAGAATGAAAACATGTAAAACATTTATTACTTCTTATACTATTCCTGGGTGACTTCAATATGTATGTTTTGAATTTTCTTTGTTTTGAATATTTTTGCATATACAGTGTTTTTTATTGCACTGTTTACCAGCTGGCTACCAAAAATGACAAACTTTTCACATTTATATTCTTTCCAAAATATTTTTTCTGCTCTTCAACATACATTTTTTGGAAAGAGCATTTCATTGTGCAAGATTTAGCATGCTGCAATGCATGCTGAAGTACTTTCCAAACTGGCAAACACTAAATTCCCGAGACATGTAAAAGATAGCCATTTTCGTGCAGTAGCGAATGAGTTAAGAAGGGATGAAGATCACTGAAAAAAAAAGTTTGTTTATTATCATATCCTAATGAAAATTGGCATGTATATGCATCACTGAATGGAGTTCATTGTTTTAGCATCCTTTGCACACTTTGCAAGTAATAAAGAAGGCTGAAAGGAAAGAGTATGCACAGACAAACACAGTCTAGCAACTCGTTTATTCTTAAAGAAGCATTTTCTTTCAAGTACCCAACATGATCTGCGCAATTTTGTCAAAGAACACCGTCATTTGCACAATGCCGCAGTTCAGTGCATCCAGAGGACCAAAGGCACAACTAACAAATAACTGATAAAAAATGACATTAGATATATGATATCAGGAGTGAAAGCGCTTTATTTGACAAGGTGATTGAAGGAGTGCTGATGCACTTCCCTTTTAGTTTTACAATACGAAGTCATTTGCCCTTTGGAGAAGACAAAGGGGCAGCAAAAAAGAGAGGCAAGTGCAGACTAATAACTGAAGGTTTGCTATTAATAGATTGCATAACAGTAACAGAAAGTGAAAGAAGAAAAAATGAGCAAGCAGGTTGCGATATGCAAAACAGTTTCTGACTGCAAACGCATGAGGCAATTTAGATTTATCGTTAGCACCTCCTGCACATGCCACCTGCCATGAAATGAAGTTCTTTGATAGGGCAATAGGCGGATTCATTCAGTAAATTATATTTCATCATATACTGTCTACTTAACTGGACAGTGGCTTCGTGTCTACTGTATTGTCAACAAGGACCTTGTACAAGTTCCACAATGTCAAAGCTCTCTTTGCACTTGGTCAATGACTGCACTTTTTATTAAGTGCAACACGTTACCTGAGTAGATGAGTTTTTCTCATGTTCTTGATATATCTCTTATTGTCGAGCTCTGTGGGCTAGTGGCTGATTTCTCACTTATGTGCAGGATGAGATGCGTTCAACGGCACACAGTTATGAGGATCAGCTAAGCACAATGAGCGAGCACCTGGCCAGCATGAATGAGAAGCTGACTCAGCAAAAGGATGAGATCGATGCCTTGCGCCACAGTTCGTCCTCAACCAAGGTGGTGAGTTAACCTTACTGTGTTTTATAAGACACTAGGCAAACATTAACTCACACTTTTTGTTCATATGACGAGGATAAAGTGCTGCTGCTTGCTTGACTATATTGGGTTAGTAGATCATGTGACCTCTTGTATTACAAGGGAAGCACAAAGCCATTCTCGGCTGACCCTGATATTTGCGCTGCTTACCATGACCACCATCCAAGGCACTCACAATACTTGACTACCACTAGCACGATCTTGCTTTCCCTCAACACTGTCACTGCAACTTTCAGACAGACCAGTGAAATTATTGTGATGCATAGCCAAGTGAGGCAGTTGAGGCCAACAATAGGTGTGTGCCACTAGACATCAGAGTGTCTTGATCATACGCACCTTATTGAACTTTATTGGTATTTATACGAGGCACATACGACATGAGTGCAAACAAAAATTTACAAATAGGCTTGACTAAGTCTGTTTTCCTTATGGGCAATTCACAGTACAAGTGTATTCACAGAAATACAGAATGAAAAAAATATGTTGCCATGCAATTATAGCTTAAAATGGATGTTCATGAATCAAAAACAAAAAAGGGTTGAGTTACGTGTGTGTGTGTGTGTGCGTGCGTGCGTGCAAATGAAATTATCAAAGGCTAGTTCAGACACCTACTTGGAATGAAGTGCAGCAGTTACTGAGGATTGTTGAAGGGGTCGCGAAACTTTTACAAAAATTTTCAACTACATATTCAGAATCTTGGCCATCCATTCTATACTCTACATCGACTCGTTTCATCGTCTGGTCTTTCTAAATAGCTAAAAATTACGGGACCCTAAAGCCTTGCCTTTAGGAGTTGAACATGATAGCGACATTTCGTTCGTTGTGCGTACTTCAAACACTTAGTGCATGAAACCTTTTCTGAATTCGCTATTTACCCACTACACGGCCTTAAGGAATAGGCTCAGTAGTGTGTGTGTGCCTTTTGTACTGGGGTACCGACTTTCCAACCACAGAGCCATTATGATAATCACATATTCATGACGCCCGTTGGCAATGGTTGCTTGTAGCACGCATTATTGCTGCAATATTTCATGTTGCATTGTGAAGCATGTATACAAGACACGTGTGTTTGTAAAGCATGAAGTCTGCTTTCACTGATTTTCCAAGCAGAGCAAGTTCTTCTCACTGTTTTCACAAGAGGCGTGGTCGTGTGGTAGAGCATCCGCTTGCCACGCAAACAACCCTGGTTCAGTCCCCACTCTACTCCAGGATTTTTTATCATTTATTTAATTTATTTGCATCGTTTTTCATTTTCGGTCATGCATAAGATGATTTTTCACTCACAACCAACAATGCTGACGCCGACAGCGGAATTTTGTGAAATGAGCTCTTTAATGCTATCGCGCTAAAAAAGCGCAGTTTCGGTGGCCCAGCCTACGTTCCTGTCAACTGTGCAGCTGACGTCACTTTAAGACAGGCAAAGAAAAGTATCTGTCTTTGACAAAACATGATGATGCAGCGATGTTCTTGAGCCTTAGTTGACCGTGGTTTGTAGGGTCATAGTGTTTTGATTACGGCACCATTACCACCATAACAATACCACAATTTCACGGACATATAGCATCATAGACACACAGACCTTCCCAAACTACAGCATCGTATGCCAACGCACCCATGTGAGTGCGAGATCGGCCATTGTGAGAACAAGACAGCGAGGGTGGCGACAGTGGCAAAGAAGCCTGCACCCTGAAAGCACTCGCATCAACACCGTGTAGCAGAACCTCCGCTTGCGGAAGCCCCACCACGAGTGCCCATACCGTCGACACCATCGTACTTGATAGCTCGTAGCCACACTGCTCTGCGCTTTGGCTCGCTGGGCAGCTTGTGGAAGGGAATTTTGTTTGCACTTTCATCAGTTGTGCAGCACTGTCTGATGACTTACACGGTTGGCGTAGCTAGAACTAAGCTACCCAGAACATGCAGTAGTACACAACCTGATGCGTCAAGAAAGAAAAAACTGGGATGCTGCACTGGCTGCACCGACCGAGCCAAGGCCCAAGGCAAGCAGCGGGAAAGCAAGGATACACACGTGACAGAGCCCGGATCTACTTGAAAGCGAAACCAAGCAGATCACTCGTAATTGCACAGCAAACAGCTTAGCACAAAAATTGCTGTTATTTTTTTTTTCCAGATTCCTGAAGATCTATTCATTTAGAGCAAAATAAAAGCAATGCTTCATTTGTAACTTCTCTCACTTTAACTCTTCACTGGCGTCACATGTTAGTGCCTATAACGGCCAGTGGCATGGTTGCTAGCGAGCCCAAGAAAACTGCGATTTCAAATGGCCGTCATTAATTACAGACTGTATATTGTGCCGAAATATTTCGGAATCAGTGTGGTCTAATCTTTATTGAAGCATGGAAAATTGCAACCAAGAAGTTTATTTTCGTTTCACGACCCCTTTAATGTGAAAATGTATGATGCCGCATTAGATTCTCGTGGTTCGTTGATGATTGTGAAAAATGCCTTGGCTTTCTGTGTACAATATAGAACGAGCCACTCGAACAATGCCCCTTTTTTTGCATGTGATTAGTGATGACATCTGCATTAGTAGGTGATTCACACAGGGTGCAAATCCACACCACGTTTGTCAAATTTGGGTGCTGCAATGCTAGTGGCTTAAGAGGGTGTCTAGGCGAGCTCATTGGTAGGGATTCATTGGAATACACAGTGCTTAAGCACAAACACAAAGCAAGAACAAGAATGTGCACTGTTGTTGATCTTGCCTCATGTGTTTGTGTTCTCTAAATGCTATCTCTAGCAATTTTTTTACCACGTCAGGGAAAAGACACTCTTTCCATGCACACGATAGCTGAAATGCTTAACAAGTTTGAAAATAATTTTTAATTAGCAAAAAAAAACGCAATACTGAAACCCAACCGAGTGTGTTTCTACATATGACGTAATACTTTGCCAGAACCATGGCCTCCGAGATGGCGGGCACACGGTGGGTTTCTCTCCGCCGTACCAATGGCACGAAGAGAGAGTGTTTCTAGGGGTGAGCGTGGCCCGCACTTTTTCCGCATTGCAGCGCTCCTTCGTATGGTTAGAAAGACTGCCACACTGTGAAAAAGCTTGCATGGGGCGAGAAAAAAAATAGTCTTGCACTTTTATATAACTTCACGCTCATTTGGGAATGGCAGGCCAAGGTGTACGAGAGGCGAAGTCAATGTTCGGGCCTATGTATTCTCAAATTGATTTTTTCAGCTGTAGACTTGCGCTGCACTTATGAGTGCGATGCTTCTGCAAGAGATCCGCATCTACTGTAAACTTACTTTGAAGTTTGCGGGCTGTATAGTATAGGGAGCACTGGCGAAGAAGAAAAAAATGACAGCCCAATCTGCAAGCGAAGTCAGAAAAATACTGCGTTCTATGCTCAGGGGTTACAATCGATAGATTAAATGGTTTCTTTTTTTCTTTCTTTTCATTAAGTTAGCGCTGCTTTTCATTGCCACATCATCTCAAGATTTCTTGCAGACGAACTAATGTGATCACAGCGGTGCAGTGGTCACATGTGAACGGTCACCCATTCGCGCTGTGAGTTGTACGGTGTTCAGTGGATATGTTGGGCAATGTAAGAACAAACATCGAGATCTTTTGCTTGTTTAGGAATAACGCAGCATGCGTTAAGAGTTTTGTGTATTTGGTATGAAACACTGCGCATTACATAGCAGTGACAGTTTACACTTTTTCTCTCTTCAGTACTCTACCTTGACGGATACGTAGTTTCAGAAGGACGCTGTTCTGCCGCATGTGCGACCTTTTGATTTGGATGCAGTCGAGAGTACAGTAATTGAAACTCTTACTGATATTGCCATCGTGCTACCAAATTATAATAAAAATGCAGATGGCGAAAAAAGAGATGGTAAATCGGGCTTTTTTTCTTTGAAAAGCGTTGGGGGTAAATGTAGGTCGGCTAATCGAAGCCTTCCGCGATATTGCGGCAAAATTACTTATCACCTTATTTCAGCGATGTTACGTCTGTACAGCCGCTTGTGACTGTAGACGATTTATTAAAGGACAGGAAACGTGAACAAGTTCAAAAGCGCAGCCCAGGCGTTGGAGTCACTCCTGGCCAGCGTTCGACGCCAGGCTCGCGCTCGTGCCACAGCGCCAGTGCCCCGCGCGCACTTCGTTAATGTCGTCTTCTAAGGCGACATGTCACTCTTCCTCCCTTAGACGAAGTCTCCATAGCGGTCTGGAGGTCGCCTAACCTCTGGTGGTCGCAGTTGCCGAGTGGCCACTGCCTGTGACGTCGACGGTTGCGAGGGAGTGTGATCTTGCATCTCGGGCGATTCAGGCGGTTGAGCAGCTGAGCTCGATGGCGTCTCTTCTGGCGTTGCGTCCAAGAGATCGTCAGCTGCGCTCCAATCTGTCCGCGATTGGGTTGTTTGTCTGGTCTGACTCGTTTTCCTCATGTGATTGAGGTGACGCCGAACCTTTCCTTGGTCGCTTTTTACAAGCCAGGATCGTGGTCCGACGCGGCGCAGTATTTCGCCTTCAATCCAATCTGGCTTTTTCAAAAACTGCCGGATAAGCACTCTATCCCCTATAGCGAAGCGGCGTGATTTTTGCAATGCCTCCTGGCTCTCAGGACTTCGCTTATCCGTCTCCCGCTTAAGAAGATCGAGAGGGCAGAGCAATTCTCGTCCGAACATCGCTCTCGCCGGTGTCATACCTGTGGTAGTGTGTATTGTCGTGTGCTGCCGATACAGAAATCTTGCAAGTCGGCACTGTATGGACTTGTCTGCATCTTTCAACAGCGCTCTTTTCAGCTCCGCCACATAGCGTTCTGCCTGGCCGTTTGTTGCCGGATGATATGCTGGTGAGGTTGCAGCCTGTATGCCGTTCGACGCATAGAACTGCTTGATCTCGTTGGAGATGAATGCTTTTCCGTTGTCGGAGATGACCTTTCGGGGAATGCCGAACGTTGCAAAGAGGCTTCGGAGCACGTCGATTACAGC